TCACTCGTGCTCCCTCATCCATTAGTGAATTCATTGACAGAAGGTTAACATTAAGATGCTTAACATATAGTACATTTTGTAAGGAGATTTCCCCATAATCTGTTGATATGTTCGCATCTCCTATGGCTGTTGCTTCCAAGACCTTGTTTCTGGCAGTGATTATGCACTTTTGACAAGTTCTTTGATGTATTAGCATGCTGTAGGTGTTCACCATATGATAACTCACCCCCGAGTCCAAGATCCAATGAGTTGTTTCTTTTGCATTCAGGGGTTCCTGCCATTTCGATGAGAGGGTGAGGGAGCACCACACTTCCTATTTAGGTTTAGTGAGGGGGGAGTCATTTGGAATGGTAACTGAAGCATTGCACTGACTAATACCATGTCCTGGTTGCTTGCAGATCCAGCATCAGATTCGTCATGGTCTGCCTGTGTTCTTTGGGTTCATGTTGCTGTTGTCAGCTTCAGTCTCTTTGGCCTGTTCATCTTGATCATCATTGCCAGCAGTCCTGGCACTGGCCTGTTGGGGGTCAATCTTTTGTGCAGGGATGCTCTCAACAGCAGTCTGTCAGATGCTTAGTGTGGTGGTGAGAGTATTGAAGTCAATTTGCTGAATGGTGGTGACCATCTCTTTATACACTGGATGCCAGATTGTGCACTTCTGCAGAGCTGAGAACAATGTGTCATTGGCAAATGGCTTCCTGAGGAGACTGCTTTTGGTTTGAATGGACTGGATCTCTTGGATTAACTTTCTAGCATCCAAATGAAACATCTTTATGTCGCTGAGCTGTGAGATGAGTGCAAGTCTGTGGGACATCTTGGTGGCTTCATTCATTAGACTGTTTTCAATCTTTCTCCACACTTGATGGAAAGTGAGGTACTCTTTGATTACATCCAGAACAAGGTAATTGACATTGTGTTCTCTGGTAGTGTCAATTGTTCCATGGAGAGCATTGATCAAAGCATCATCAAGAGAGTGGCTCCATTTTGGGTGCTTCTTGTCATACATTCCCTCGAGGTGTTTCATTGCATGAGGCACAGATCAGAGGAAGGACTTCATGTGGGCACTCCAGCTGTAGTAGCTGTGTGACATAAGCTTTGGTACAGGTTCAAGAAGCTTTGCTAGGGTGTGAAAGTTATATCATTTGTCACCATCATTGAAATTGGAGTTGGAGTCAGCATCTTCATCAGCTTCATTGTTGATGGCCTCAGACTCATTCTTGTTCATGGCATCATTGTCAGCTCGCACCTGGGTGCCCTTGCCTTTCCTGCTTCCTTTGGTCCTTGTGCTGGCACCAACCTGGGTTTTGGTGTCTTCTACCATGGTCATCAATGAGTTTTGATTAGCTCAGTTGGTAGCTTCTTCAGACTCTTAATCAGTTGAAGATAACAATTAGTGTATGCCATTTATTGGGGCCACAATCAGGCTCCCTTACTACAGTCATATGCTTCTTGTAATGCTTAGTATTTTCATAACATGAACCTAATTGACAGTGATATATATACCTTGTTGCCACTCTGATCATATCTGAGCAGAATGAGTCATCTCTCTTGTACCCCTATGTTGTTGCTTCATGAAGTGTCCCTGAGCCATTGCTATGACAACCTTCACATGTTTCATTGTGTTTCTTGCTTATGCAGGTGCTCAGTACCATGGTGCCTCAGCTGCAACTCATGCATCCCCTTGAGATGCCGATGCATCTTCAACTGATTTCACATCGATTGTTGCGCCTGGCCAGTCCGAGAAAAAGTAAGGGTATCCGTGCAGATCTGCTCTTTTGCATCCGACCTTTGACCAAAAAGAAAAGAAAAAAAGAAAAAAGAAAAAAGAAAAAAGAAAAAAGAAAAAAGAAAAAAGAAAAAAGAAAAAAGAAAAAAGAAAAAAGAAAAAAGAAATAAGAAATAAAAGAGAGAGAAAAAAAAGGTCCCAAAAAGGACGCGAGTCTGAGCTGTTCCAGAAAATTTCTCCAACAGCACAACAGTCATATCGTTGTGGGTTCAAAGAAATCCACCGAAATATGATAAAAAAGGTCGGCTCGGTCGGATTTCGGACCAATTCTTCCACGCTGCAGAGCTTGTTTGATAGACTCATGCGCACGAGGCAAGAGTTCTTTTCAGTCGCTGACCTCGAGTCCATAGCTTCTTGGCCCTTTGCCAGTCGCCTTTGAGGATTGCTGGCTGCAGCCGCCGACGTCAAAAGTTCTAGCCATACTGAAGGCAGGTGCTGTGCGAAACGGTGCGCCTCTGTGCCTTACTGGCATCCGAGGGTCGTGATGGATTTGATTCAAGTGTCAGAAAGTGAAGTGGAGATTAGGGGGTCTATCGGGCGATCTCTTTCCCTACTTGGCTTCATCGGCGATCTGAGTGGTCCATTCCTTTCACTTGGCTTAAGACCTGGTTCTCATACCGTGTTTCCACGCTAGTTTCGAGTCTAACCCCCGTGCAAATGTCTGCCGGCCTTCCTAGGATGAATCGCAGCAACGTCGATCAATCGAGGTTTTGTACCCGAAGATGTCCCGTCTGGAAACGGGAAGTGAAGCTAGGTGTACCGCTGGATTAGCACGCGCTTGGGCAGAGAGATTGAGAGATTGTGTCGATGAAGTCCCCACCAGCATGACTGCAGCCAGTGTGACCATGTAGCCGCTAGAGAAGAACAAAGTTCATCTCAAAGCATGACATGGGTTGTAGAATGTCGTCGAACTGGCATAAGAAGCGTGCTTCGAGATTCATGCTGGCACATTGCAATTGAGCGAAGGCGTGGTTTGGCGAAGCGAGATCTGACGATGAAGCAACTACAGTACTTGAAGCTTTCAGGTCTCTTTTGTTTTTGAAAGCTCCTTGGCAAAGCGTATGTGAGGTGAGGGATTGAAACGGGAACCAAGACATTGGTGCTCGCCAAGACACCTTGAAATCTACTTTTGAAGCTTCGTACCGTCATAGCGTAATGTGTGAAGTGAGCTTTGTCTGTCCTTTTGAATCAAAGTCATGGCACCTGGCAAACAAGAGTGATTTAAAGAGGCATGATGGGCCAGTTCTTGGTGATGGCACATCCGACGAGCTACGTCCGCTCTCTACGATATGGCTCGAGCCTATGCCGATACCATCCACATCTAGCCGGCTTCATGTTGCAAGTCGATCACATTGAACAGCAGGAGAAGAAATGCGATAGCCAAGAATTCCGACTGGCATGGAGTTGTCAACACGCTGTCCTACCCAAACCCAAACCCTGTGTCAATCTTGTCACATCAATCCGCCGCTTCGTATAAGATTGCTTCACAGCTCCGACTCAGCGGCATATCTTCGGTGCGTGATGGAGGACAGGAGCGGACAAGAAACCCCACTGACAGCATTGAAACAATCAAGGCGGAAATGAAAGGACCGGCAGACGCAAGGCCTTCGTCAGTACCCTTCAATACAGTATGGCGGTTGGCGCCTACTTCCGCTTGGGAACTGTGCGTGTGTGCATGTGTGCGTGCGTTAGCCCAGTGTCAAGCAGAGAGTGTGGGCAAGGAACTGTTGTCTTGGCGAGCCCCTTGCTTCGATTTTGACATTTCAGAGGTGTGTCTCTGGATAAATCAATTCAACCAGAGCGAGCAGCCAGCTCTCTCACGCTGTGTTACTGCTGTGACAACAACAATAAAAAAAAAAAAAAAAAAAAAAAAAAAAAAAAAACAATAAAAATAGACGGGGGGGGGAAGGGGGGGGTTTCAGTTTTGCGACTTGCCGCCCGCTCGCTCCTCGACAGCAACAGCACACGGCATCAAAGCTCTCTCTCTAACCCTCTCACACACAGAGAGTGAACAAGTGCCTGCTTGTTTCGCTTAGGCGCCCGCCCGCTCGCCCTCATTTTATGAGGGAATTCTTTTTGAGCACTCGCACCGCACCGCACCGCACGGCACCAAGCCTTGCTTGCTGTGCTGCATTGCAATACTTTCCTCGCGCCTGCTGTTGCTGCTGCTGCTGCTGCATCACACCACACGCTGAGACCTGCAATCAGCTTTACGGTACGCCAACACCTCAGCCATTTTTCGCAATTGCAACAACGCACAACGCACACCCACACACACACATTATCACACTTACACCCTCAATCACACACACACACACACACACACACACACATACACATACACACACATACAACACACATTTGGACATCCACATTCTCCTTCATCTTTCCATCTTTGAGTTTCCTTCTTCATCACCTTCTCTCCCTCTTCTCTGTCGCCTTACTGTCGATTGTTCGCAGCCGCGAACTCTGTCTCTCTCTCTCTCTCTATTGCTCTGTCTCTCTCTATTGCTCTTACTCGCTCTCTTCCAAGCTGCAGTCACTTCAGCGCTCGTGTCCCAACACCGAACAGTTCATGGCCTCAAGTTGCTCTCATTGACCGCCTTCATTGACACACTCACAGCTTGCTCGACAGCTTCGCTACTCTCCAAGATCTTCACACTCGCCCTCGGTCCTCCTCACGTCCTCTGTCTTTCACACACCATCGCCACAACCCATATTTGCTGCCGCAACGCCTTGCTGCTCTCTCTTCGACCCCGCTGTACACAGTGCTGCAACACTTCATCTCACATTGTCGGCTTCGAGCGCCAGATTCTTCCGATTATAACAGCCGCGCTTCATTCCTTCCGCCACGCCCCACCCGAAGATACGCCCATCATACCATAGGCGTTGCGACATCAATTTCAATTCATCGCTTGCCACCATTCTCGCTTCGGCTCTTCTGATACTCTATTTCCGGCTCTTTCGATTGCGCTTCTCTACTCGAGCGCAGAAAAGCAGAACAGCAACCGCAGACTCACTGCTTCCTTTTGCTACCGCCGTACGCTCAGTCGCCACCGCAGATCTGCTACCATCATCGCATTCCACACAACACAGTCCGAGCACAATCCACCTAAACGACCCGCAGACCCTGAGGTTCGGCACTGTCTAGTCGCAAACGTGCACATACCTCCAGTGCTCGACCATGCCTTTGCGAAGAACCAGCACTTAAGCTATGGCCCAGGTTGCTCTTAGCTCCACGCTACCTCTCGCCTCTCCGCACCACGACCAACAGTATCGCCATCCCGGTCGAGCCAACAACGGGCTCGGCCCTAACGGCCTCATGCACGCCTCGGCCTCGGCCTCCCTTCCTAGGGGTGCTGCTGATGGTGCTTCGGGCTCTTACACTCTCGCCAATCCCTCGGCACAACCACCATCCACACCATCCTCCCTCCGTCCACCAGATCAAGAGATGCCAACCACCGCTGCTTCTCTCATGCGCGAAGGTCCCAGGGACTTTACCGTGATCAAAGATGTCGGCGACGGATCTTTTGGTACAGTCTGCTTGGCCGACTGGAAGAGTCCATTACCAAGCGGCACCATGCTCTCACCCATGCAACATCCAACCACACGTCCCGAGTACATAGGCAAGCGTCTCGTTGCCATCAAAAAGATGAAGAAGCCCTTCCCAAACTGGCAGGAATGTATGAAACTCAAGGAGCTCAAGTCGCTCCTCACAATACCTCCGCATCCCAATATCATCCCGCTCTACGATGCTTTCCTCATGCCTACCACCAAGGAGCTTCACTTTGTCTTTGAGTGCATGGAAGGCAACCTCTACCAGCTCACAAAGTCCAGAAAGGGTCGTCCGCTCGCCGCTGGATTGGTAGCCTCCATCTACGAACAGATCGTCCTCGGTCTGGAACACATACACAAGCATGGCTACTTTCACCGTGATATGAAGCCAGAGAACTTGCTCATCACCACCACTGGACTCGCCGACTATCCCAACATCCAGCCAGGTGCACCGCCAGACAAGGATGTCCTCGTCATTGTCAAGTTGGCCGACTTCGGTCTGGCTCGCGAGACTCTGAGCAAGCCTCCCTATACCGAATACGTATCAACCCGTTGGTACCGTGCTCCCGAAGTTCTTTTGCGATCCCGCGACTACAGCAATCCCGTCGACATGTGGGCATTAGGTACCATCCTCGCCGAGCTCGTCAATCTCAAGCCGCTCTTCCCCGGTCACACTGAAGTCGACCAAGTACTTCAGATCTGCGAGATTCTCGGCGATCCGAGTCACAGCTACGGCAATGACTCGCGCTCCAGACGCAACGGTGGTGGACCCTGGGACAAAGGAATTCGCATGGCGAGAGCCGTCGGCTTCCAGTTCCCCATCTGCAAGCCCGTCAAGTTCTCTCGTCTCTTTTCGGATCGCGTCCCACAAAGTCTTATCGATTGCATCGAGGACTTGCTACGCTATGATCCCAAGGCTCGACTCACTAGCAAAGACTGCGTCGAGCACGAATACATGAAGAATGAAGCGCCGCGACTCCGACCGCCACAAGCGCGGCCTGTTGTCAGTGCAACCTCCCCAAGACGTCCACAAGGCGCCTTTGCTCCGAACAACGGCGCTTCACGGCCAATCCCTCCATCCCACTCTGGTTCGCTCTCACCGCATGCCAAGCCGCCGTTCGGAGCTGCCGACTCCAACCTCAGACCGCTCGCAATGCTGCGTCAAGCCGATGGCTCAGCAGTGGTCATGGTCAACGGCAGCCGTGTCGACACCAACGCCTCCGGCAATGCCACTAACAGCCCCGCTGCCGCAAACATGCACGCTTCAACCGCATCTCCTATGCAAGTGGATGGAGCCGAAGTGCACTGGTCTCCTCCGGTGTCCTCGATGAACCGCCAAGTGTCTCTCTCAGGGTACCCCGCTTTCCCCGATTCTGCCTCCGTCTACGCGCAAAGCAGCTCCGCTCACCACGATGGGCCCTCTTCTGGTGCACCATCATCCGACGCCACTGTGGTCCTCGGCAATGCATCTATGGTGCCCTCCAACGTCCAGCCAACCGAAGCGACGCTTAAACACACCGATTATCGTCATGGTCAAGCTTTGCAAGCGCATCAGTACGAGCAGTATCAGCGCCAGTATCGACAAGAGGCAGGTCAAGTGCAAAGGGGCGGGTATGAAGATCAGGCCGCCGCCGCAGCAGCGTACGACCGCGAACAAGCTGCTCGTTCTGGCGCTTTCGTGCCATATGGTGCTCCCTACCCTGGCGCCGGCTCATCTGGCGATCTCTCGCAGAAGAATGACTCGAACGCCAGCAACGAGACCATTGGCTCGCGCGACAAGGAGCGACGAAGAAGCAAAGCATGGGGTCTCAACATTTCTTCCGTCTTTGGTGGTAGCGGCAGCAATGGCAGCGGCGGAGGTGCTGGTGGCGCAGGACCCAGCGCAACACATCATTACGCCGTCGCAAACGCCGCCGCTGTCCGTATGCCGCCCAACGGCATAGCCGCGAATGGATCTACGCAAGAGCTGCGGACCTCTATGGAGCCAACTCCCGCTCAGAGAATTGCTGCTGAGCATGCCAACACTCCTGGTCAGCCCAACAGTGCGCCAGTCAAGCAGCTCGACCCGAAGAAGGCCAAGAAGGAAGCCGAGAAAGCGGCGAGAGAAGCTGAAAAGGCAAGGCGTGAGGCGCAACAAAAGGCCGCTCGTGATCGCGCACGTGCGGTCATGCAGAAGCGTAACCAGCTTCTGGCTTCTTCCAACAGCAAGGATCCAGTCGAGTGGCTTGCAGGCACGATCCAAGCAGAGGAGCCCTACCGAAATGGACCCAGTGAAAAGGCGAGAGGCAAACAACCTGCAGGGCCCGGCTCGCAGCTGTCGCCTTCCATGCCCAGCTTCCCCTCGGGCGAATTCCCGAGATCGCCTCTTCAGCAGCCTATTCACGCTTTGGGCCCAGACTACGGCATGGCTGCCAACGCAGCCATCACGGGTCCTATGGCGTGGCGAGGTGTCGGAGCTCGTGGATACACTCGCAGCAACAAGGCACGTAGGCGCGAGCATGACGACGATCACTCGATGTCAAGTTTCGAGGATGCCATCGATCCTCGCAGGGCCTCGATGCAATCCTACCAGACCGGTGACAGTGATCCCGGGCCAGGTACAGGATCAGGTCAACACCTGCCGCAAGGACACCACATTCAGCGGGCCAGCTCGTCCTCTTCCCTAGCTTCAGCTCCGTCTCTGTTGGACCAGCGCCGCTTTGCTCCATCGCTCGAGTCGCATCGCAGCTCCCAAGAGACACGTTCCATCAGTTCTTTGGACCATCAGCTCATCACCAACATGGAGAACATGACGGCTGCAGAAGCAAGGACACGCACGCCTGGCAATGTCTCGCCAAGTCCAGCTCATCTTGTTGGTGCCCGTCAGTCACTGAGTCGCCAGAGCCGTGCCAACAGCCGTGCCTCGTCTGCTTCGGCACATCGACAAGGTTCAGCTTCGCCTTTGCACCACGCTAGTGGTATCCCACGCTTCCACCCGTACTCGCACGGTGGGCCTGTAACGCCATCGACTGGCTATCACCCTAATTACCAGCTCCCACCGCTGCACCAAAGTCTGCATCAAGGCGGCGCGCCTGATCGAGGTGACGGATCGGTCCCTCCAAGCTTCCACCCCAACGCTGGTCATGCTCAGCAACACGCGCACCAGCATCATATCAACCCTATCTTCCATGTGCCTTCTGGCAACATGGGCCATGGCACTACACTGCCGCCCTTCTCATCGATCGCAGCTTCCATCGATGCACCTGCCATCGATGGCAAGGCCACGCAGATGATGTACGCGCAAACGCGCCCTTCTGGGCCGTTGTCGCAGGGTTGAAAGCACGGGAGAGCTTGACGGCAGCGCACTTGTCAACTCTATCCCATTTTCGGCACACAATCATTCCATTCAGCTATCTATCACTATCCTTTTTCGCATAATCTTTGTAGTGCTTTGTAGTGCATACCATTGCTTCCCCAATACCATCGTTAGTAATCTCTCTCGCGCATCTCTTGACCTTCGGGCGCAAGCTCATCGGAGAACTCGTGCAATAAAAGAAAATAAAGAAGATCGGTCCCGATAATCAATGATCGGTTAGAGTCGGAGCACGATGTCACTGCTATTTAAGACAGAAACACATATACTCGATTGACTAAAATGAACGGGGTGAGAACCTAGTGTTCTCAGCTTGATATATATATATATATATATATCTATGAGGTACATGCCGAATGTGGGAGTATCCTACTTCACGATCTAGCTTGACAACGAGCGGGACTGTGTTGTACCCGATCTCTGGACTGATCTGTTCCGTCAGATCCCCGATTACGTTTATATCAGCATGTATCATCATATTTGATCGCTTCCTTCGGCATGCAACTGTCCGAATAGGGTCACATGAACCCAACTCATCCTTCTTTTGAGTTCACGACGATTGCCAGGATGTAAGGAAGAAGAAAAATAAAGAAAATGCATATATTATTATAATAAATAAACAATTAAAAAAAACATGATCCTCCGAATCCGGGAATTGAACCCGGGTCTGCGCCGTTTTCTGCGCGGAGAACGCTGGTCATTAACTGACAAGGCGCCGTCATAGCCACTAAACTAATTCGGATCGCGTTATTGCTGAAGTTTTAGGTTGCGTATATATATACTGCTGTATAATCTGGTTTCATGGTCTTCGAAGAATTTCTAAGATGTACTGTTGTTGGACGTGCAGCAAATAGCGTTGACAAGTTGCGATTGCGATAGTATGTAAGAACTAAGTACAAGACGATGAATAGTATATATGTGTGTCTCCCAGCACTCTGTGTATGCGTGTACATACGATACTGAGACGTGCTTCCCATAGAGGGTGTTGAAACATGACGGGGCAACTATCTTCTCCTCGTCGGGTGTCGGATAGCCGGTCTGCCGATGCTTGTCACGATAACCGACCTGGGATAACATGCTGCGGATCCGAGTGAACGAAGATGGCGGCGATATGAGATCGAACTAGAGGTCACATACTTTCACTTGTACGCGTGACAGATCCGACCGGCTCACCTCGTGTGGCGCACTTCACCAAAGACATTGTGCATTGCTACGGACACCGTTACCGAAGGGAATGAGAGGTCAGAGATCTACATAGGTGATCCTGTTAGCGACTTGAATGCCGACACGCGCGGCCCAGGTGGGGGGATGTTTGCGCAGTTGCGGACCCCACTTTTTCTCGACGTCGTTGACGATGTCACTGAAGCGAGGACCGAGCGCTTCTCCTGCTTCTCTCAGTTCTGGCGGTTCGGCATCATCATCCAAGGTCTTTGTGATCTCCAGACATGATGTGCTCGCGTGAAAGCGAGCTTCTTCGTAGTACGCTTTGGCGCGGAAGGCTCTATGGAGCACTTTACTCAGCGCTGTTGACAGTTTGTGGAACTGTCAACAAAGGTGGGAGAAACCGGAGCTCTGTCAGTCAAGGGCTACATTCACAGAGATCATTCGAAGCTGTTGCTGAGCTCGACAGCCTACAGCTGCATCGTCCGTACATACCTGATCGCGCCCCGAGCCAACCTCAAGCACCATGAAGTGTCTCGAAGCATCGTCGTTGTTCAAATAGGCAATCCTTGAGAAGGAGAAAGGAAAGCTATTCCGCACAGATGCATCCAAGAGCGTATCAATCAGTTGGAACGCCCTTCATACTTTCCCCACGATACGTATACACAAGACGAAACTCACCTGCCTATCGTTTCCTTGAGCCTTTGCAACTCTGCCTTTGCAATCTTAGCGTACTCGTCCCGTTCGGAGCTTCGTACCGTGAACGGACGTGTGAGAGAGACGTGCAAATATCCTGCTTCTTCCGCGGGGTCGGCTCCAGGACTGGCATCTGAATGTATTAGATCCAGCAAAGTGTGACTTGTTCCGAGCTGCTCTTGAAGGTGTTTGTGGCAGTCTCGTATCAAGGCGCTCGAAGAGGGGTCCAAAGGTACTGGATGGGTGCGCATCCCAGGTCAGAACGCAGTCTTTGATTGCTTTCAAAGCCTAGCAGGCTCCACTTACCATCCACAAAGCAGTAGCACAGCCAATCTCCGCGTGCGACCTTCTTTGAGCTGTTGCTGGCTGGCGCCGGGGTCAAGTCGCTGGGTGAATCGTCATCCTGTCGTTGCAAGCTGTCCGCCTCGAGGGGCGGCAGTTTCCTGTTTCTCAAACGCTTACAGCACAGCAGAGTCAGAAGACGCTCCTAAATCGCAGACGCACGTACACAATATCATCATGCTCACCTTTTTGTTACTCGTTTGAGAGGAAGGTTGGCTGGGGCTGTACTTGCAGTTGGACCTATCTTTGTGATTTTGAGAGGAGTTAGGGCTTCAGGTCGGCTCAACTTTGACTTGACCTTGACCTCGTCGCCATCAGAAGCCGATTCAGCATCCGAGTCGGAGTTCGCATACTGTGACAGGCCAGCAAGAGCCCCGCTCATCGTTCAAGACCGGCACATGACTCAACAAGGGATGTATGTGTCTCTTGTCCTACTTGCAACAGGGTCCAAGCGTAAGGAAGCTGTCGGATTGCGCAGGCATTGGCTCATCACCGAATTCCAAGGGGGAAAATGAATCAAGCCAATCGGTCGTGAACTTTTGGACAACTTTGCTGCCCGATCGATCCTTTCCAAGTCCAAGGGCGTTCTGCGCGTTTGAAGCTAAAACTGCAAAAATTCCCACGCTGAACAAGATTTTGGCGGTTAAAAACACCGAATTCTTCTGCCTTTGAGGCTCGACTAGGACTGCTCAGAATTCAAATTTGTATTGCTCCTGTGTGCTGACTTGGAAGGTCGACTCGTTTCAAGTCTACGAGGCACGACAGCGCGATGTGACGCCCTGAAAGGGTGAGATTTCGAAGAATTGGAGGTTCGAGAGTAAGAGGCGGCAAGCAGCCAGGCAAGAATACGAGATGGCAGTCAAGTCTCATTTCGAGGTCAAACGTGTTTGTGAGGCTGGAGAGCGTGTGTGCCTGCCTGTCTGCGGTGCGAGACGGCGCGGAGTGTGTGTATGAGTGTGTGTATGAGTGTGTGAATTGCTGCTAGGTTGAGCTCGACACCATCCTTTGCTACTCTTCGCTACCACCAAGAATTCGTCAAGATGGTGAGTATGCCCTTGCCATTGATGGAACCGATCTTTGCCGAATCATCGACAACATTCGACGCTGCTGCACCGCATTACGACAAAATACACCACATCGCGAACTCGCCATCTGCAATGATTAGCATCGACAACAGACGGAGCAAATCCGTACAGCAACCCGTCATTCACTGTGGCGACCTATGATACAAACGTTCCACCACTGTCTACAGTAGCGACAATTAGTCCATAGCCTCGACGATGGAGAATCAGCATTAGCAGACTCGCAACGGCATTATAACATTGATGATACAGAGTTCTCGATGTGCGCTGGGGAAGATTCGACTGGCACACATGCACGTATGCAAACAACGACGAAGACGCCAGCATCTAGCTCAATGTCGACTTGATGATCTTCATCGAGATCGTGAGCACCTCGACGCAATCCTGATGTTTCGAGAAAAGGACAGCAAAAGTGGTCAACGTCGGTTATCTATGATGTTCGGGCATCATCTTGGATATATGAGATAGTGTTCACGTAGGACCGGGATCAAACTGGACACGCAATAAAGCTCTTCGTAAGCGTCGACAGTCATGTTGTCGAGGCCGACCACAGATATGGCGGTTGATGAGTTGGGTTGGGCGAGGACAGGCCCAAGTGGACGAGTGTCTCAGCTCGGATCCGGTGGATAACGCAAATTTCGCTCGCGCTCAGACTTCTTAGCGGTTCTTCTGGCTTTCTCGGATGCACGCATTGCCAATCTTTCATCTCGTTCCTACGACTCTTTTCTCGACCAAAACTCACCTGCAGTAGCGTCGGACTTGACCTTGATTCGGCCATCGGTTCTTCCTCAATATCTCGTCCAGCACACATTTAACTAACCTTCTTTACTACGTTGCGTATATCATCGCCGCCGTCGTTTATCATGACCTCACAGGACTCCACTTCTCCCGTCACCCTCCGAACTCGCAAGTTCATCACCAACCGTCTGCTCCAGAGGAAGCAGATGGTTCTCGATGTCATCCACCCTGCTCGTCCCAATGTCTCCAAGGCTGAGCTCTCTGAGAAGCTCTCCGAGATGTACAAGACCCCCAAGGAGCAATGCGTTGTTTTCGGTATGCGAACCGCTTTCGGTGGTGGACGCTCCACCGGTTTCGCCCTCATCTACGACTCGCGTGAGTCGATGAAGTTCGAGCCCAAGCACCGCCTCGTCCGCGTAAGTATCTCGCAACGCAAGCGCATATCAGGCAGTCATCTCGAAACATTGTCATCAGCGAAGATGAGTGATGCTGTCGAGAGCCATGCTACAGATCCAGTACAGTCATCCTGCAACAGTCATTCTGACATTCCCTGATCCTATTTGCATTCATCACCCACAGATTGGCCTTGCCGAGAAGACCGAGAAGGCTTCGCGCAAGCTCCGCAAGGAACGCAAGAACCGTGCCAAGAAGGTCCGTGGTACCAAGAAGACCAAGGCTGCCGAGGCTTCCAAGAAGAAGTAAACCGGTTTCTTCCTGCACTTCTCCTATATTTCCGAGCACCCATGCGTTCCGACTTTGGCCTGCAGCAGTCACTTGACACCATGGAACTGGATTCGAGTTGTTGCATTCGTACGTCGCATGGCCGACGAGCTTTCGCCCCTTCTTTCGAAGTCGGCTTCTTCACAGCGTCGATACGAGTGTGACAACCTTCGATACCTCCAGCTCCTACCAAAAATGCACACTGCATCGGCATGTTCCCCCCCCCCACATCATTACATTGCAATTGTACCATCAACACGTTTCTTTTCTCTTCTTTATCAACCCCCCAAAGAGAACCTTCACACACACACACACACCCGAAATATCGAAAGAAGGTGGTGTCGCTTATCAGACATGTTATGCTGTTCCTATTTGGTGCGATCAGTATGTGTGCCCGTTGTGATATCATAGTTTGAGATTGCGGCTGAGAGACAGAGGGCGAGTTGCTGAATACGCACGCGGACCTTGCAGGGCCTTAAGGAATTGCGCTACCACGGTGCATGACCCGGTACGTCTCTGTCGACAATGCTCGGATAGCTCGTCGGTATGTCTCGTTGGACACGTCATATGGGCACAAGAGCATCTATCTCCAGGCGATAAAATCAGATGTATGAATGATGCGATGAATTGAATTGAGCGATACTGTTACATGCTGATGAATGGGAAGAAGAATGATTTGCTTGCGACTGCATGGCAGTGTGGGCTATTTGTGTGGAGAACAGAATGTAGCTTATGCTTGCTGCGTCGGTGTTGTGGCAGAAGAAGATGACTGGGCGGTCTCTTCGAAAGCGGCTTCCTCGAACAGACTTCCACCCTGACCAGGCTCGGGCGCCGGAACAGCCTCTCGAACCTGCTTCTGAGCCTCGATCAAGGCAAGACGACGCTCGTTGAGAACGAACTTGATGCGAGCCATAGATTTGCGGACCTGTAGAGATGAAAGCGTGCGACGGTTTTGCTGTCAGTAAAACATTTCTCTGCAAGGCCAGCGGGTACATGTTTCTGCCTGATGTGGAGCAAAGGTGATACTTACTCTGTGATTCTTCCCGCCCAAGTTCTGCGACCACATCCTAGCAGCCTGACGAGCACCAACACGATTCAACTCCTCCCAAGCTGTGGCCAAGCGGTTGCGCTCCATCAAGAGCACATACCACAAAGTATGCAACTCTTTAGAGCTCTTCAATCGCAATTCGCTAGCAAGCCATGATCTGCTGTTGGTATCTTTACCAAGATCAGACTGGTGTACGGCATGTGGCAGATTGACAAAGTACTTGGGAGGTGAAATTGAGTCCTTGCTGGCCTCTTCGATGACAGCGGTGCCTGCCAGGGACTTGTCTGCAATCTCGTGTTGACGTGTGCGGAAGAATTGGAGCAATGGGTGTGCTGGGTACTGTCGGATCTGCTCGAGCTGTGTCTTTGGTGTTGGTGGAAGTGATGGCTGCGATTGAGATGCTGGCTTGGTGGGCTTGGGGACTGGGGCTTGCGATGCGCGGGAGGAGGAGGAGAATGTGCGCGCAGCTCGCAAGGACTGCGAGAGTCGGTTGAAGACGGGCCTTGTAGTCATCCTGGACGAATCCCGTGTGAGCGTTTTTGGCAGTGTGTTGTTCAGATGGGTACGACGTCAAGATGTGGATTGGTGTCAGCAAGAAGATAGTGCAGGATTGCGAAGGTGGAAAGTGTCAAGCAGCAGCCTTCCAAATTTTACGAAATCGGGACCGAAGCTGCAATCTATGTTTTTCATAGGGTTGTAAGATCTCGTTTTTGATCACCGATATTACACCAATCTCCAGAGCTGTTACCCGATTCAGAATGTCCACCAATTCGCACTGGTTGTCGGAGTGGAAGGCATGACGCTCGAAGGTGATTCGTGGCTGACGTTCATGCAACAACTTGGAACGAGACCGCGGCGGGGAGTCGCACGGAGTCAGTTCTCGGCGGCAGAGCGAATAGGGGAAAGTGCAACATCAGCCTCGAAGCTCTCCAAGTGGTAGTCAAACTCGGTCCCGTCCTGGCCCTTACAGTGCCACACAGGCCAGACGCGGATTGCTTTGCGGCTGCTCGAGCAACGTGGTTTCTACCTTTGGTCCCTTACTTCCTTTCGACACCAGCTGAGCTCGTCTCGTCTATAAGCAAGGCAGACGATGTCTGATGTCTTGACAGCATTCTGAGCTATGCGCCCTCGGATATTGCGCTACGATCCGCTGGAATGGTTCGCACGGCTTCAGAGAAGCAAGAACTTGAACACCACACTACACAAACTCTGGGTCAAGTTGTTCCGAAAGGTGGCTTGGGCCCCTTCTTGTTCGATCGCTGCTTTTCACCTCGCTACAGCCCATGTGGTCAAGCCAGATATCATGTGTGAATGCGCACAACTCCTGAGTCTTTGACTAGGAACAAGTACCTCGGAAAACCCCTTTCGATACAGTAGCGTTGATTGGCTAACGAAGCGTCACTCTTGAGCTCAACGTCAGCTGAGCTGGTGGCAGTCGAATGTGCATCAAAGCATGCATAGAAAACGATTTTGGCTGCTTTGCTTCCACAACAACCATGCAAGCTGCTTGGGAAAAAAAGGGCCGTGTTGCAAGGCCATCCGACGTCAGCGATAATGATGCGAGGCAAAGAGCCTCAAGTTCGAAGCAGTCTTGTGATTGGGCGATGGAGGAAAGCAGTACCGTGCCGCATGGCTGGAGACACCAAGCTGAAAGCAAGTTGCATCCCAGAGAGGCCCATAGGTTGACGATAGCAGTGAGCAACGTTGGCGGCACGTCAGATTGGATGCTTCCTCAACTTGGAAGCTTCGCACGTCCGACATGGCAGTGAGGTGGGAAGTGCAATAACAGGCAGATTCTGCTTGACTTTTGAGTGGCGCCTCCCGATCATGCTCTTCTCACACGCAAGATCGTACCATATAGGCGAAGGATTGTTCGAGAGCTTTCCCATCGCTGCACAGAACGACTTTGGTGTGTGTGGACCTCACTCGGTTACCCTTGTCAGCCTGCAGAAGAACAAAAGCAGAGAAGGCAAGAAGATCCCTTTGTTCCGGAAAGCGGGGTTGTGGGAGTGTGCCTTGGCGTCAAAGAAACGAGACGCCGGTGACAGCTTTTTCTTTTTCTTTTTCTTTTTCTTTTTTTTTTTTCTTTTTTTTTTTTTTTTTTTTTCTTTTTCTTTTTTTTTTTTTTTTTTTTTTTTTTTTTTTGACAGCGGAGAGCGAAGCTGCAAGACTGTGCAGGAGATCGTATTCTTGAGCATGCTATCACCAGCTGTCGTTTGACTGATCATTAGAGTCGAACAATGAGAAGTATGGCAACACAATGCAAGCTAGCTTTGCAGTCGCTGTTTGCCGGGCTACCAAGAGCTGCGAGTGTTGCAGTAGCCATGGGAACTTGGCAAAGGGACCTGCTCTTGACACAACGGATCCGTTGCAGCGGCTCCCTGTTCCGCTGTTCGAGCGTTTGCACAACAACAATGAGCGAGGTATCCCGTGTTATCTGCTGCCGAGCTGCGCTCATCAAAGCTGTTCTTTCTCTGTCTCAACTTTTGCATTGTGTATGTATGTGTGATGTCGAAAAGCTGTGTCGCTGAACCAGATATAATAATAATAATAATAAAAGAGAGTTGGTCACTTGATCACGTTAAGCTCAGCTTTCAAATGAAACTCTCCCCCTTTTTTCCCTCTATGCGCTAACTTACCACGTTTCCTGCTCGCTCGCTACCCAATCCCTATCTCCAACGCTCACGCCCCTTGTCCTTGCCAAGATCTCATTTGTGACTCGAGGCGGTCGACAGTAGTTTGATCACTATTTGCAAAGCCGTGTTTCATTGTGAAACCTCTTTTTACAATCGTACCGTCTCACAACGTGCTTTTTTGCCAGCAGTTGCAAACTCTGAAATTCTTACTGCGGACGAGAAATAAAGACGGAAAGGGTGAGATCCGCCACGAAAGAGACAAAATTCAAACTCCGCCTTAGAGTTGGTCAGAAGAAGAAGAGAAAGCAGCCGCACGCTAACCTACAAACTCCCACAAACACACACTCCCTCTGTCTCTCTCTCGCAAACAGGAACGCAAGCGACGCCACGCCACGCCGAAAAGAGTAACACAATCAAATGTGCAACTTTCCACTTCGGCAGCAGTTCACTGTCTCATACCAAGCAGCCTTTGGTGACTCTTGTTTGACACACACGCACTGGCAAAGCAAAGCGCCTCTCTCCCTCTCTGCAGCCGCAAAATCTTCTTTGCTGGTCTTGTGTCAGATCTCACCTAGACACACGCAAGTCAACGTGTGATTTTGTGTGTTGGTTGCAAGGGCCAGTCGTTTGGGTTCCAAACGACGAACGCATTCGGATCGCTTCATCTCGAGCAGCCATCATCAAAGCCCACTTCGCCTGCTTTCTCCTTCACTTGCTCCTTCGTGTGCTGCCGTGTCGGAAGCACAGCAGTCTCTTCAGGGTCTTCCGAGAGCTTTCATTTCGCTTGCTGCTGTCGAGCACGAGCGTTTCGATTCCGTTGCTTCCGATTAGCAAGCCAAACCTTTTTTTTTTTTTTTTTTTTTTTTTTTTTTTTTTTTTTTTCTTTCTTTTTTTTTTTTTTTTGTTTTTTTTTTGTTTTTTTGTTTTTTTGTTTTTTCTTTTTGTGGTCGCGCCTGTCACAACTCGATTCCCCGCACACACACACACACACGCGCATTGTCATATCTACCATTCACGGGTCCAGTCTTTGATCTCGTTCCCACCTTCATTCTACCCCCGTCTACCATCTCACCTCGTTCGTCCCTACATTCGCCATCAGCGTCATCTACTCCGACTTTCCGTGTCATCGTTCAAGCATCCTTTCATCGCAAGGCCAGTCTGGAGCTCTATCTCGGTCTCCTAGAATCCGCGGCACAGCTCCAATTTGCTCACCTCAGCTTTCAAATCAAGCGGAGGACGTTCGGATTCAGCTGCTTCAGCATACCCACGCCAAGCCTCGATTCTATCGGCACTGTTCCCAAACTGAACTCAGCCCTCTCACACAGCCTCGATCGATCACCAGACCGCTAAACACAATCGCCAAGATGGGTGCATGCATGTCTGCTGAGCAGACCCAAGACACTCCCGAGTACAAGAATTCCAAAGCGCTCGACCGTCAGATCAAAGAAGATGAAAAGAATCTTTCTCGCGAAGTTAAACTTCTCCTTCTCGGTGCTGGTGAGAGTGGTAAATCCACCATCCTCAAATCAATGCGAATCATCCACCATATCCCCTTCACCGAAGAAGAACGCGAAAACTACCGTCGACTCGTCTTCCTCAACCTCGTTCAGGGAATGGAGTCCATCCTAGATGTCATGGAGGAATGGACTGTTGACTTCCAGCATGATGCCAACATCGGTCATCTCTCCCTCTTTGTTTCCTATCCTGACATTTCCGAAGATGAGCCCTTCCCAAGCAACTACCTCGTCGCACTCAAAGATCTTTGGTCCGATCAAGGTGTCCAGTCCGTCTACCGCAGAGGCAACGAAGCAGCAGTACCAGATAACATGTCCTACTACTACTCCCACCTCGATCGACTCTTCCACCCCACCTACACTCCCACCGAATCCGACATCTTACGGTGTCGCAACAAGACAACGGGCATCATCGAAACCACTTTCCCACTCCAAGATCGCGTCTATCGCATATTCGACGTTGGCGGACAACGCAGCGAGCGCAAGAAATGGATTCACTGCTTCGAAAACGTTACCGCCGTCCTCTTTTGTGTCGCCCTCTCCGGTTACGATAGCTGCTTGGTGGAAGATAAGGACTCAAACCAGATGCAAGAAGCTCTCATGCTGTTTGACTCGATTTGCAACAGCAAGTGGTTTACCCGTACATCCATGATTCTCTTCCTCAACAAGGTGGATGTGTTCAGGCTAAAGATCGCCTATAGCAGCATCAAGCATTACTTCCCTGACTACGACGGAGATGATCGCGACTTTAACGCTGCTAGAAGCTACTTTAAGGCCAGGTTTTGCAGGTTGAATAGAAGTCCCACCAAGGAGATCTACCCGAGCTTCACCAATGCGACTGATGTGTCGTTGCTAAAGATCGTTATGGCTTCGGTGACCGATATCATCCTCACCAACAACCTGCGCGATATCGTACTATGAGGCAAGTGGTTGCCTTTCTTTACATATACTCTTGCTGCATCTGCATATATCATTGCAACCAGTGCTTTTTCTAATCCCACTTCTCACACACATACCATCCGCCACTCTCGACCGCACACCTTGCTCTCGTGCTCCTTCTCGCACACTCACTAGATCCCCCTTCAACTTGACTCTTTTCCGGGTTTGACTCAAATGTATTTTTATACCACAGACTCTTTGCATAGCCTATAGCTACCATCGCTGACGATTTGGCTTGTCATCCAAATTGCACCCTTACAACAAAAATCACATCCCGTCTGTGCTTGGCTTACTGTGCAGGTTGAACGATGCTCTTGATCTGGCTCTTTGGCTCTGCGGCAGGGTACGGTCTGCTTCCCCCATCTAACCTGCGTTGCCTTCTCGTAAGCGTGTGAATTCACCCATCTCGGCGCCTAGGTTGCGGAGGGTATCGAAGGACTTCCAGTAAGCGTCTGTGGCTTCCTTGGGGAGGTTCTGGGTCGTTGCGTTGACGAAGAATTGCTCGCCTGTGTAGCCGAGAGGTGGGCTAGCAGTGTGGCTAGCTCTACAACCAGCAAGCGGGTGAAGGTGAGCTTGGACGTTGTCGAATGCTTGCTCTTCGGTGTGTCTTTGCTATTACTGTTGATGGTGGAGTCGGGTTCTTGGCTAACTTTGTGTGCCTCTCCGTTCTTCGTGGTTGGGGAGATGGCATACTCAAGTGGTTGATCCCTTTGACTAGATCCCAAGATACAAAGTCGATGACTCCCCGTGGACGCAGAAGTCGGCTACGAGGTCGTTGTTGCGATAAGAGGTCGATCATAGCCGCGAACTCAACGATGGGGTTTGGATGCGGCTATACACTCTGCATACGATCCCCTCCTCGCTCCGAACCCACGCGGCCTCCTCGGTCAAATGCAGCCTTACGATAAGACAAGCTTCTGCACCTCGACAGCGCACACAGACGATGGCGAGGCTCTTGCGTTGTGGAAGAGCTTCTTCCGATCTTTGCCACAAAGAGAAGGTTCGGCTTGGCTTGCCGAAGTGTCACTTGTCTGAGTGACTCGTAAAACATGTGAGAACCAGAGTGATGTCTGGATTGCCGTGTCTTCTTTCTAAAATTGGCGCTAGAAATTGAGGCATTTTAATCGACCTCATCGGGAGGAGGATTTCAGATCGGGCCGTGATGCTCTACTTTATGCTTCTGCTTTTGATGGCGGCAGTGTGCTGTCGAGCAGACTGTCATCGCTATTCTTATTTCATCGCTTTCACGCAACCATCAGAAATCGCAAACGAAAGGCAATGGAGACGCGAGAATCTGCGCATCTATTGTAGTATGCGCTGGTTCATATTTTGGGCTATGGCTGGCGTAGAGTGTGTACGCTGAAATGCGAGAGTATGTGTGCGGTAAAGGGTAGACTTGTGTACAAAGCGACATCACAGTATGTGTGTGTGTGTGTGTGTGTGCGGAGTGATGAATGGGTGTAGAGATGTCACAAAGCGAGACCGAAACGAATATGAGAGAGCGAAAAACGGGAAGACGAAAGCGAAGTGTAGAAACGCTTAAGCCTCAGTGAGCTCACGGAGACGTCGGATGGTGCTGTTGCAGTCGAAGTAAATTGGGACGGGTGGTGACAGATAGGTCAGTAAGTTGTACTTGATGGATGATACGTGCCGTCGACCAGAGAGTGAGGAGTACAAGAAAAGCGCATAGCTTTCGCAGACAGGTCCTCCGTCGCCAAATGCATGTGTGCTAAATCAAACCCCAGCCTGACTTTAGGTGACTTGGTTCGCCTTGAGCGCTATGTGTTCCGTGCGTCCGTATTGCTGCAGTCTTTCGTCTGCTGGCCATAACAACTATTCTCGCCGCGTGCTCGTGTCCACACGCCCTTGCCTCGCCTGCTTCTTCACTTTATCTTATCCTTGCTTGTTCCTACGATCCACTGTGCCCTCCTCTGCTCTTCCGGTCGAAACGGTTATTGCAATAGCTTGCGTCGGAAATACTCACGATCGGACGGTGGCAGCAGCCGAGGTGCTGAGAGTCCAAGCACCACCAGCCATGACCTTCTTGCAGGCACGGCATTCCCAGATGCCGACAGCCTTGCGCTTAACGGAGTCCTTGCCACAGAAAGTGCAGGTGTACTTGGAGTGCTGCGAAATTTCGATCTTCTTGATCTGTCGTCGGAGCGAGGCACCGTAACGGGTACCGTACTTTCCGGTGATTCCAACCTTGACAGTGCGCTTCGACTGTAAATGTGGGTAAGTTGCAAATAGATATGATGCAAGGTATGTATTAGTCGGTGGTGCTCTAGTTGGTAGGTCGGTGGTTGGGATGGCTTGCGGCCTCAGATCGAACAGTGATATATCCTGAGTGCTGAATGGTTGGTGGGAAGGGCAGCACGACGACACCGCTCCGTATGCCAGTCTATGTTAGAGCTGGGTACGATGCACAACGATCGGATACGCATGCCGAGACAAGCTAAAATGCCTTCCGATGAAAACTTCGTAATGTGACACTTTTCGTGTTACTGTAAGTACGCTGAACGCTGACTGGGTGACCGCATGCTGCAGAGCATGACGACAGGAAGAAGGTTCGGCGAGGCGATCTTTTGTGTGCATGCTAAACGAAACATCCTCCTAGTTCGGCATGCCAACTTTCATCAATCGGCCTCGTAAGGCGTCATTTTCTGTCCCTGTTGGTGTGGAGTCGAGGCTATGTATTTTGACTAGCTCGGGTGCGATTATTTCTTCAAGGGTTATGATGCTGTCCGGTCATCCTGTGACCTTAGATTGCTGGGAGATGTTTTTGATGTGCGACTGACTGTATGTGCAGATCATGCAATGCTGTGCTGGTTTGGAATGTGCTGATGCGTGTCGAGTGTATCACTGTTAATCGAGCCTTTGCCATTGATGTCGTCAAAACTTACCATCTTGACTATGTGTATGTGTGGGGTTGGTGCAGAGGGAAAGAATGACGATAGCGACGACAGCGTCAACTACCCTGGCGCTTTGCACTCCTCAGTCAGACGCACACGCTTGGGCACTTGCAGGCTTGCCTGTCAGTCTCTGCTGCGTCGCTTGCTCCCAACTCGAGTCTGAGGGAAATTCCTGGCTCGCTCACTCACTCTTGAGGAGAGCTAACGCTGCGAAGATCCGACATGCTGGCGCTGCTGTTGCTTTTTTTTTCTTTCTTTCTTTCTTTCTTTCTTTCTTTTTTCTTTTTTCTTTTTTCTTTTTTTTTCTCGTCACTTGTTTTGCCTTTCGAAAGCTCAGTGTTGGCTACAAATTCTGAAGTCTCTCTGCGTTTTGAATTGTGCCGACTTCAATCACCAAGCGGGGACATGAGGAATTTGAATGTACAGCAGAGCGCGTTCTGAATTTGCAAGAAGGGCAAATCGTGGGAACTTTTGTCTCTGACCGCATTTTTGGACGGTTCCGAACAACAAATTGGATCGATCTAAATCGGGAGTCATTCGCCAATTAGGACAGATCGGCTTGGAACGCGTAATCATCATGTGCGTTTCTCCACTCTGACAATGAAAAATAATGAGCTCCGGAACGCGTTTCAGTGGATGTGTTGCCGATGAGAGCCGAAGATGGCATTTTGAGTGTCGATCCGCTTTAGACTGACTGCGCTTAAGCCAACGTAAACCAACACTTTGACCCGCGTTTGCAAACAACGCAAATCCCCGGATTAGCTTCTCTTCTGTTCCTGTTCCTGCTGCGAGTTGAGCTTTTTTTTCCGTCACCACCTTCGCACATACCACACCATCGCAAGGCATCAATGTACCCTCAATTCGACCATTGATCGCGGCTGCAGCCATCTCGTTTGGGGCTCATAGCCCGTCTTCAACCACCTCGTCCTTCCCTAAAGTCGTCCGCTCTCGGATCGAATCGTAATGTCGGACGCCTTCACATCTTGGCAGGAGAGGCCAGAAAGGCTTCTGCCTTCTCTTAGCCGGAGTGGCATCAGCAGCTTCAACGAGGACACCCTTCATGATCCTTCTGTTACGCCTCACCCTGCCGAAAAGTGGATACAGGAGCAGGGTAGGATCAACAGCAACGCTGCTCGCATGGATAAGCTGGATCAGTTTGGCATCCCCATCCATCCATCGCACTCCAGATCGTCGCGTCTCGCCGCTCAAGCATCTTCCCCGAGGAACGGCGACTCTGCTGCCTTCTCTTCCACATCCAAGCCGTCATCCTCTTCGCGTCATCTACTCTCCGCATCATCCGCAAGCAACAACAACCACAAGTCGACGGCCTATGGTTCTCCCTCCCCCTCGTGGCAGTTGCTATCTGCCGATCCTTCTTCATCCGCCTCTCGCATAGTCCAACAGCCCGAAGAAGCCGAGGAGGATGAGAACGTGGGCCTCCTGCTAGGTCAATCTAAACGCAGAAGACGCAAGGACTCGTACTCTTCCTTCGGCAGCAGCGTACTCCCGGCTCCATTGTATGCGTCTGGCGCGCGCTACAACTCACACGGAAGCCATAATGGTCTTGCAGCATCCAGACAGGCCATACCTGCTAAGCAGGGTCGATCCACCTATCCGCCTAGCAACCATTCAGGTGCAGCCCCAGCCTCGCGCCGTCTCGCTCCTTCCAACGATGCTTTCGCCCACCATCAGCCACAATTGGACACGCAGTGTTCGCGTCAACGCCATCAATCTAGCGCCATGACTTCACGTCCTTCCGGCTTTGACCTGGACGACTGGCTCAGAACATCGCAAGCTCCTCCTGGCTTGCGAACATCTCCCAGTCTCGGTACACTTACCACTTTCGACCGCCCTGAACGTCGAAGCGCAGCATTGAGCGAAGCTGGACGACGTCGTCGACGTCCACAAGGTGGTTCAACATCAGGACTCAGCGCGGGCGTGCTTAGTGCAGGCCCCGAATCGCCACGGAGCCGTAGAAAGGCAAGTGCGTCTGCATCGCGCCGTGAGTCTAGCGGCTACTCTTCTCTTTCCCCCGATCATCCCGCCTTCATGGCATCTCAGGAACTCAGTCGAGAGGCAGAGAGCCGCACCATGGATACCATCGAGGAATGGCGAGCGAAGGCAGATCCGCAGGCATCCGCATCCACCATTGAAAGCGCCTTATCTGCAGCACAACAACAACGCCCAATCACTGGAGACCTGCTAGAGTCAGCAACACGGCGCAGACGCAAGAGCTCAGTCAAAGGCAGCTCACATCCCGTGTCGATGGATGGGCCTGCTCCACCACTGCCATCCATCCCTGCAGCGTTTACGGCAGGGTCAGTGACCTCCAAGAGCGGTCGACGTAGACGAAAAATAACCGAGACCTCCCTTGCAGGTCTTCTCTCGCCGGACAGAGCCTCCATAGCTCATGACAAATCAGCGACGACAGCGACACCAGCTTTACCGACGCCGCCGCCGGGACTTCGCGATCTGTACGCACTCTCTGGCTTGGGCTCGCAGGCAGATACCCCTGTCCGCCGCTTGATCCGCTGGCTAGCCAAAGAGCAGCTCAAGAGCGTGATCCTGCCACTCGTCTTACTGACAGCTTTTTTGGTCCGCTGGATGGTGGCGACCGGCGACTGGAGTGGACGCGGTGTCGAACCCATGCACGGTGACTTTGAAGCACAGCGTCATTGGATCGAACTCACTTTGCATCTGCCGACATCCAAGTGGTACTTTTACAACTTGCAATACTGGGGCTTGGACTATCCTCCGCTCACCGCGTGGGTCAGTCTAGCATGCGGATACGCTAGTCAGTTGTTCCCATCAACAAAAGCGGGCTTTGCATTCGAGACTTCGAGAGGTAACGAAGATGCAGCAACAGTGACCTTCATGCGAGCTACAGTGGTTGTTGGCGACCTGCTGGTCTACCTCCCCGCTCTTGCGCTCTTCATCACACGAAAGCTCGAAGGACGCGGCAAACGCACTCAGGCCATCGCACTGTTCTCCATCTTGCTTCAGCCCGCTCTCATCTTGATCGACCATGGCCACTTTCAGTATAACAGTATCATGCTTGGTTTCAGTGCTGCTTGCTTTGCACTGTTGCACACAACGCTTCCTAACCCAGAAGCCTCCTCATCTCCCTCTGCACGCAACCGCAATCAAGCCGTCGCCGACCTCTCACGCCGACTCAGCTACGAATACGTCGCAGCCGCCATCTTCCTCTGCCTCAGTCTCTCGTTCAAGCAGATGGCTCTGTACTACGCACCTGCTGTATTCGCACTAATGCTTGGACGGTGCATCGGGCTTGCCCGCATCGACCCTGAACGCGGACTGACGCTATTCGTCGGTCTTGGTCTCGCTGTCGTCATCACGTTTGGCGTGCTTTTTGCGCCCTGGTTGACAAGCTTGGAGCAGATCGGGCAGCTGGTGCATCGCATCTTCCCGCTCGCACGCGGTCTTTTCGAGGACAAGGTGGCGAATGTGTGGTGCTTCCTCTCCGTCCTCCCTCTCCCAGCGCGGTTCAAGTTGAAGAACATGATGCCAGCCACAGCACTAGCGAGGTTGAGCTTGTTGGTGACACTGGTAGCGATCTTGCCTGGATGCTGTCTCTTGTTCTGGGCGAGTAGTCAGACGGCAAAGATGGAGATGATGGTCGCTCAGGAGACAGTCCAGAAGCGCACAACTAGCACTACAGCAGACAAGTCGACCGCTTTCAGCGCTGCCGGCAGCGTCAAAGCACCCACCCTTGCAGCTTCACTGAAGTCGACAAACACACGCGATCTTCTAGCGCCATCTGTCATCGGATCAGCCGCCGGAGCACCAGCACGATCCGAGATCGAGTCTCTCCTAGCCGGATCCGTCTCGAAGTCTATCAGTGGGAGAATCAGCCAGGTTGGTCCACCAACTGAGACCCTTGACCGCCACAATCTCATCTCGCACGACTCAGACTATCACCTCTCGGCATCCGACTCTCGCCCAGTCGCATCGTCTCTTCCCTCACCAGCAGCCCAGATGCTGCCCTACGGCCTGGCCAGCGTCTCCTGCGCCTTCTTCCTGTTCGGCTTTCAAACACACGAAAAGTCCATCCTTCTGCCCTTGCTTCCACTCACCCTGATCCTTGGGGCTAAAGGCGATACGTGGGGAGGAAACATTACCAGTGCTCGAGACTGGGAATGGACAGTCTGGTTCAACAACATCGCCACCTTTTCACTCTTTCCGCTGCTCAAGAAGGATGGTCAGGCGTTGCAGTACGTCGTGCTGTTAGTTGGGTGGAACTGGTTTGTCGGAAACTTGGCTGTTCCTTTCCAGCCCTTGAATAGCATCAAGGGTCTGGTGAAGGGTGCTTCCTTCTTTAGAAAGTTGAGTACGCTGACCTATCTAGCCGCGGCAGGGTTGCATGTGGTGGAATTGGTGGTCCCGATGTTGCTGCCTGGTCTGCAAGCTAAGGTGTGGGCTAGGTATCCGGATATCTATCCCGTTCTCAATGTGCTGTTGACCACACCGTGCTTTATGGTAGTCTTCATCTGGGCGCTCATTAGACAAATTCAGGTGGCGTTCGCGAACGGGCTTGATCTCTCGCTCTCTAGCAAGAGTAAGACTGCAGCAAAGAGCACAAAACCATCATGATCTACACTGCACACACCATCTCCTATGTGAAGCTATTATTCACTTGCATTCAATCATACCCCTCCATACAACAATTATGCGGCGAGCGTTTCATCCAACCTCGCTCTGGCTTCAGCTCTCTCCCTCTGCACCCGCTCAGCGAAGAATCCGCTGTAGTCCAACCTCAACAGCAGTTGCTCCAAATGTCTTCTTGCTGAGCCCAGACTTCCACTTACATCCATCCTCCCTGTCTCTTTTGCGCCGCCAGACAAGTGGAGCTGAGCAACAGAGATCGACATTGATCCGATGCCTGTTGTGCTTTCGTCTCCGGCTCCTGTGGCTGCTGCCGATGCTGGGGAAGAAGAGGATGAGAGGAGCTTGAAGAATCGCATCAGTTCTCCGTCCAGTTCTGTGGTAGTTTGATCGACTATATGCTGTCGATCTTGAACGAGCTTGTTCGTCTCTGCAGCCGAATCCGGCGTCGAGGTTTCACCAAGCAGTGGTGGGAGGACATCCCCGCCCCATCGTTCAACAACACCAACGAAGCGATCGCAGATGTCTAGCACTGATCGGACTAGACTTGATGCGACGGGAGAAGAGAGAAGAAGGCCATCTTGAACGAAAGCGAGGAAGGCAGTGTGCGAGGCGCGGAGAGATGCAAAGTCGAGCACTGTATCTTTCTCCACTTCATCGGCGATATTGCCGTCGGGGCGGACGGTTTCTACCCCATCAACGATGGATGACGGAGGACGAGTGGAGGATGAGACGAAGCGACGGCCTGCACGGTGACCTCCGCCGGTGACGCTAGCTGGTGGTGCGGGAGTTGGACCTGAGACGGGGAATGCAAGGCGTCGGTGTGGTGCTCGTCCACCGGCACCACCAACGACAGTTGGAGCACGTGAAGTACCAGCGATTGTACTTCCGCTCACCCTTCTTTGCCGTCCTTCTTCACCGTATGCTTCGCTCGGCGTAGCCGACTCCATCGGAGAAGAGGACCGGTGTTGCTGCTGCGACGAGTCCTTCCTCATCCTCGTTCCCACCCTTCCCAACACCGCATTGCCTCCTTGTGCTGGTTCCAGACTAGCCCTCAGCTGCTCAGTCAAGCCGCCAAATTGCGCATCAATAATATCCGTTTGGAAGTGTCCCAACAGCGTATCCAAGAACCACTTCATACTCCTCACCACACCCCAACTGCATCTCAACAGCCTCGCCCTCTGCTTTTCCTCCTTCGCATCCACCCCTCCCTCTCCTGTACCAGTGAACTTCCTCCTCCCACGCTGATTTTTACTCAGTGCAATCCAGCAATTCAGCACCCGCGACTGAACCTTCTTGATCGCGATCAGGTACGAAAAAATGCGTGAGTACGCGGTCAGGTCCGACGCGGAGAGGAAAAGATCGAGCGGAAACACAGCAGTATAGTGCAACTGAGTTGGAACTCCGATTAGGTAGTCGTCGAATCTTGCTGCCCCTGTGGAGCTTTGCGTGCCGATTGATGTGGTGGTGTCAGGGTTCGCAGATGCAGCCGCACCACCTCGCACCTTGGCATTCCTTGCACCTACCAAGCTTGGTCTGTATCCACCTTTCGGCAATGCGAACCGCAATCTCTGCAATGACGGATCATCTTCCGCCCAAGTACCGACCGTGGCTCGCCGAAGGGAAAGCTCGAGATCGCTAGCACGTATCATACTCGCTGCTGCTGACCTCGCGCAATAAAGCTTGTTTTTTCGCATTGTCTCCACTTCCTCCAGCAACGAGAGAATGTAGGGTCCGTTGCGGTGCAAAAAGTAGTCACCGAGGCATTGAAGTGAGGTGTGTACGACTGATGTGGTGAGGATGTTGCGGAAGATCCATTCTGATACATCGTTGCGCAAGAACTGGATTGCACGGTCAAGATCGGAAGGACGGCTAGGTCGCACAGCGGCACTGGCCAGTGCTGATTCGTGGCTCTGCATAGTGGCTGATGGTGGTCCAGAGAGACTTGAATGACGTGTTCGGGCGTTATCGAGATGTGCGGAAGAGACGTTGGCATAGCGGATAGTATAGAGCGCCCGACCGACGTAGAGGATCGAATCAGCTGTTGATTCTGAAACCGAAGCTGGCAGGGCGTCAGGTCGGAAAGCCCAAGTGTTGCCTGATGAGGAAGCGACCCAGTCCGCAAGCCCATCTCCTTGAGCTATCGCAGGATTATCTGTATGTGAATTGGAGTCGGCGCTATCGATCCAGCGCACAAGCTGATCACGACAGATCAATGTACGCTTGGACGCATGAGGATCTGCAATGCCGCCTGGTCGATGAATCTCTCCTCTGCATACCCAAGCTGTGAGATGTTGCATCCAGCTATCCTCAACAGCGTTGCGTAGACGGGACATGTGCTTCGCTACACGCTCAACGCCCGTTGACGCTTTCAAACTAAGCAAATCAATCAGCAACCCTCCTGTCCAGTCTACCGGGAACGAAGTCACGGTTTCTGCCTTTCCTTCTTGTATTGCGGCATCCGTGCTGAGATCCTTAGCGAAAGCTACATCCCTTCTCTTGTTCGGCCCTCGTTGTAGCAGTGTCACCAGATCATCAAGAGCGGTAAGCGGTGCATCCCACATCTCGAAACGTGCCCTTAGGTTGGCTAGACTGACAAAGCCCGTCCCTGCAACTAGCTCGACATCCTTATCCAGCACCAGCCTCTCTGTTTGCAGCACAAGTGCATGGTATTCTGCTAGGATCGAAAGCAGTGTGGAGCACAGAGGAACGAGGTGAAGTGTCGGCTGCTGTTCGAGCTCCTTTTGTGCATCCTTGCTGTTGGTCGTATGACTGCTGGCAAGAGAGTTGGCACGGAGAGCGGAGCGGATTGCACGCTGTCGAGCAGCTTCGATTTGACTTTCAGAAAAGGTTTTAATGCGAGTATAGCGGGTATAGAAGGTGGCGAGATGGTCGAGGATCTCGATCTCGGACGAATGGAGGAAGTCGAGGTCGTCTCTAACTTTGAAGGCTCCTGAAGATGAGCCAGCTGCTGTCGAGGAGGAGGCGAAGAGGCTTGAGGGGTGGCCAGCCAGCATGGCCAGCAGCTCAGCGATCATGTTGGCCTGATGGACTTGATTGCTGCATCGAATGGGGCCTCAAGAGGCCATAGCGTCGACGATGGTGATAGTGATGGTTGATGATGACCAGGGTTGATGAAGAACCGAAGTGTTGGTCTTCGCTTTCCTTCAGCTTACCGCGACGCGTCTGGCCGGAGTTGGAGATGTTAGATCGACATGCTCAACATTTTCCTGTAAGGCCGCCTGGTGGAGGCTTGATGCGTTCATATGCACGATGATCAAGGATTTGGACGAAACGTGGGGAACTGTTCCTAACTTTGACCTTCCTGTAGTCAGCGTTGACCCTCAAGGATTGAACGAGGTCGGTAAGCATTCCCTCTCTATCATCATCTCCACCATCATCCTACTACACTTTCTATGTCGCCGGAAAGCGTTGACCATGTCTTCATTATACCAAAAGATTCGCTCAGTCCCCTTCGACGTGCTCTGGCGCACAGCCTTGGTGCGTCTTCCACGAGCCGTTCCACTCTCCACCCTGAAATGGACATCACCTGAAGGACCACACCCATTCATCTTCCACATGCCCTCGCGATCCACAGAATACACCATACCGCTACACATCTTCATCGCCACGAGCCTGTACGACAATCCGCCAGCCAAAGGAGCTCCTGTTCTGGTCGACTTCCACGGAGGAGGCTTTTACCTCGGCTCGTGCTTGGAGCAGGCACCTTTCTGTGCATACATGGCAAGGGAACTCGATAGCATAGTCATCAGCGTCGACTACCGCATGGGACCCTTCCACCGCTTCCCCGCAGCCATTGAGGATGGTGAGGACGTTCTGAGCGCAATCCTCGACACCGACTTCCCTGGATACGAGCCTCTGCGCCAAGCGATTGTATCAAGGATACAGTCAGAGCGTGCCAAGATTGCTAGAAAGGGAGAAGCAGCTGTCAACAAGCAGCACAAAGACGAGCTGCAGCACGGAAAGATCGAACAGATCTCGATTCCTGCCCCTTCCGCCTCATCCACAACCTCACCCTTGACAAAGACGCACGACACCTCTTTCGACTTCGACTCGAGCAAAGTAGCAATCTCAGGTTTCAGTTCAGGCGGTAATCTCGCTCTCAACTTAGCTCTGCACATCAAGCCACCCGAGCTCGAAACCGAATGGCCGAGCAGATTCGCACAGAACTACCCTGCGCCCATCCCGCTCCTCCTCTTCTACCCATCTTTCGACCTCCGCCAACTGCCCTCGGAACGCTCACGACCTCAACACATGGGCCTCCCATCAGCATTCTGGACCCAAGTCGCTGACTCACTCGCACCGACCTACGCAGAGCGGAATGAAACTTTGCACCCACGCGTTTCCCCTGGCCTTGCATCCCTCGAGTCCCTCCACCCAGCAGCGCGGATGTTCCTCGTACTCTGCGAACTAGATACGCTTGCAGAACAGTCCAAAGCATGGGTAGCAAAAGTTCAGGCTCACGAGCGTACAGAGCACTTGGTGGTAGAAGACATAGCAAACATGAAACACGGCTGGACACAAATGCCGGATGGATGGCTTTCAGAGGAGGAGAAGCAGGCTAAAGAAGTGGTGTTTGCCAAAGCCACTGCGTTTGTAGAATGGGCTTGGAATGGGAGCAAAGAAGCGGATAAGCCAGAGCCGGAAGTTGTCGTGCCGCTGAAAGATACGGGGAAAGCAGAGATTGCTAAGATCCAGCCTTAGACATACGATATACGAATACATATAATAGCGTAACAGCGACTTGATTCGAAATGACTGTGTAGTGTGGGTATACAAGAGCTAAGCAAAGTTGAGAAAGGGTCTAGAAGGTGCGCGAGCCAGGGAATGCGTGTACGACGACAGCCTCGCCAGCTCGGCGTTTAGGCTTTGACTGAGTGGTGGACCCGAAGAGTCCGTCCATAGCGTTAACCAATTCATCGGGAGTGCAGTGAGGACGAGGACCTTGCTTGCGGTCGTTGACGTCAATGCCGACTTTGGCCCATGCTTCGGCGATCTCGGTTTCGCGGTAGCTTGGGAGGGACTCCTGCTTGTGGGCTGACTTCTTGTTGCGAGAGAAGATGCGAGCGAAGATGTTCTTCTTGATGCTAGCGTTGACAGGAAGGGAGAAAGGTTCGGCAGAGTCGTACGTGGGAGGGCTGCAAGTAGCGTCCACGGAAGACTGTTGTCAGAAGAAAGGGTAGAAACAGTAAGTGAGCTGTGACTCTTGAGGCTGGAATGGTGGCGAGAAGTTTCGGTTGCTTACCTTGTTGCTAAAAGTTTCGGCAGAGACGGAAGAATCGGCCTTGCAAAAGCGCACTTCGTACTGCTCAGGCATTGTGTTGACGGAAGGTTGGAAGGCAGACATTTCGTCGTAGATGCACATGATCAGGAAGGTTGCAAGTGATCGAGCAGAAGGTGAGGGCCACCGTGGTTTCTGTAGAGGAGGATGCTAGTTGTGCTTGAGTGATGGAGAGAGGGGGGCTATACTCGTTCACAGGCTCGTATATAAGCTTCCTACGCACCTCAGCCATTGCCACAGAGCTGGGCACCACAGAAAGGTTTGGCATTGTACGACAACGATTAGTTTTGAGACTGAGCATGATTAGCGGACTGACACGGCGGTCCATGCGCGGGAACGGATGAGCGGTTTGACAGGTGTCAGAGTTCCAATCACACGAGCTGATGAGCGATTAGGCAGCTGACACTTGGTGGGACTTTCGAAATTCCGAGGCTGCAGCGCGCTCTTCTTTTCTCGGCGTGTGTCAGGACCCTGATCCGCGACTCGAACAATAAGACCCACCACTGCGGCAAAACTTCATTGGTGAAAGGAGACACTCGCTCTATTCCTTCACTGTGCTCATTAGTCGAGACTCGACTCAGCAGATTGGGATCGCTGCAGCATCCAGGACACACAAATGCAGCTGCAGGCCTGGCTTCGCGGTCGTACGTGTTTCTAGCAACACAACACTCGACGGCCTTCACTCCGTCGAACAACGGTCGCATACAGACGACGCAACATTCACGCATTTGGAAAAAGGGAGAGAGGGTCTTTCGATTGATGGTGAGATGCACGAGCGTGCGACAGCTTCAGTGACACAAGTGTAGTGTGACAAAGAGACAAGTTTGGACGAGTCGCTAAGCGTCGCTGGAACCAACGTCCGTCTTGCGAGGTTAATGTTTGTGATGCTTGCCATGAGCAACAAAAGGATGACCAGTCGACCTGCTCGAGCTGCCGATACCGCAAACGGCAGCGTTAGGAGTGTACCCCTCAGGAGCAGCATCAGCGTCGCCGCTGTGACGACCAGCGAAAGCAGGGTAATTAGCCTCGTCCTTCCTCTGGCAACCAGACCTGTCAATGTGGGCCTTGGAGCACTTGACCCTCTTCGGCCTACCGTTCATGTTGACCGAGTTACCCCAGTCGTTCATCCTCCACATACAACCGTGGCGGAGGCCCTCGGGCAAGTTAGCACACCCAGCAGCGTTGGTGTCGAGACCACCGTACTGTTTACCCCACTTGCTCATGTCGGCGCCCTTCCACTGAGCAGGGCAGCCCTGAGTCATAGCGCCAATACCCATACCAGGGACAAGAATGTCCAGACCATCGCTGGTGACATCACCACCGTCGTTGATGACTTGGTAGAACAAGGTGTTGATCTTGCCAGGCTTGGAACCGACGAACTCGGCAGCGTAGCAAGCACATTCGTTATCCCTTTCGGTACTGCTAGTCATGGCAGCAAAAGCGTAACCAAGCGTTGGATTGGTCGAGTCAGTCCAGGGCTGCTGACAGCTGCATTGGAACTCGAAGCCGCCACCGCAGCCCGACGAGTTGGGGTCATCGCGACGAGGACCGGTCACGATGGTTTTGCCGTCAGCTTGGCAAACAGCAACGGGGTTATACACTGGAGCCTTGTTACCTGAAGCACCAAAAATATGAAAGGACAGAAGTGTAAAGGTCAGTACACAACTCTCGACCATGATGGACTTATTGAAAGCCCCTGGGTCCGCTGCTGAGCTGCCCCAGGTGCTTAAGCATGGCATGTGCATATTCACCCCAGCTTCCACTTGGTTTGCAGCAATCCCAATACATGGTGGCAGCAGTAGATTTCACGACCGGCGCAAAGTATCCAACAGTTGCCACAATGACGGCGAGGAGGATGGTCGACTTGGAGAACACCATCTTGACGAAATTTGAATCGCGTTGAGAAAAGGGGAATTGGAAAAGAAATGGAAACTCGGCGGAGCGAATAATGTATGTGTAAAAGGTAGCTCGACCTTATAGGGATGAGCAGAAGTGTGAGGATGAAGAGGAAGTCTGAACGTTGCCTATCAAAGGAACGAACGAGCGAAGAAATGTGAGAGATACAAGAATGGTTTAGTGTGAGAAAGAAATGAATCAGATCTACCGTCTGTAAAGCAGTCAACTTGCACAGCAAGTCGCCGGTATGAGGAAGAGAGAAGAGAGAAGAAGAAGCGAGTGAGAATGAAGAACAAGGAACGAGGAGAACAGGGGTGATTGGCAGGGTGCTCGCAGCTTTATATGTTTGCGTGAAGCTGTTGCTCATCCCTGCCTCCTTTCCTCCTTCCCCTGGCAACGACGCACACATAAACCCACCCTTCAAAACCCACGGTTTCACTAGCTCGCAGCAAAAAAAAAAAAAAAAAAAAAAAAAACCCAGTAACCTCCCTCTCAACTTCATCTGAAAGACTGAGACGACGACGATCTCTACGATCCGCCTGTGCGGGATCAGTTCAACCTGATCTCCCGGCCGACCGGATCGGCCAAAGGTCGACAAATTCGACCACCCTTTCTTTTTACGGGGTGAGGAGTTCACAGCAGTGGCTCCCTGGGACACTCTTTGGAGTCGTACCTTGAGTTAATCAAGTCGTTGTCTCCCACCCTGCCCTGGACGAGGTCACTCGTCGGCCAATTAACGCCCTCTTCGGCTGGTGGGTTTGACGCCACTCAAAGTGGGCGTGAGGCCTGACAACAAACGCCTGATCGAGTACTACCAAATGAAGCATCAGCCCCGATCGACCCTCTCGACACAGTCACGGCAATTCCGACGGACAAAAATCAGTAGCCGGCGTCGATTAGCACAGCTTCGGAGTTCAGATTGCTTTCTGAGCAATCAAGCAAGCAAAAGTTGTGGAATTCTGCCAAGCCACCACAGAGAGCCTCCTCATGAAAGAAGCATGACGCAGGTAGCTTTGCTACACTGCATCTTTGGGCTTGCATGCAGCTCGCATGATCCACAAGAGATAAGTTACCTTCCGTCGGATGGATCAAAGATATCTCCGCTGTTGCCTCTGATGGAGGCAACCTTGTTGCACAGAGAGAATGGCGCTAGTCGACCGGTGAAAGCCACGTGGAGTTGGAAAGGGGAGAGGTCTAAGGAGCTGTCAAAAAAAATTAAAAATTGGGGTAATCAAATTTCGAGTGTTTTTAGAAACACGTGTTTCTCGATTTTGACCTGTTTTTATTTCGCACAAGATCCTTACGTAAGCTCACCCAAAATTGAAAAAACACGCCTCCGGACCCGGTAAAATGGACTCACTTTTTCGTCACTCCCCAAAATGAAGTGCGGATGCACGGATGTGCATCCGCTTGCTTCCCTCCTTCATTACTGACAATGAATTTGATAACATACGCGTTAAATCGAACCAAATGTCACCTTTGTTGCAAATGTGTTTTTTGGATGCTCCAAAATGGGGTGTTCAAAAACGGGAAAAAGTCGTCAAAATCGAGAAACACGTGTTTCTAAAAACACTCGAAATTTGATACCCCCTATTTGGTCAAAAAAACCGACAAAAAAGAGGCCATAAAATTCGCGAAAGAAAAGGCACTGAGATCGGGACAAAGCAAGCCGATCGGAGGTGATGATCGATCACAAGCCAACTTGTTCGCGGAAGTGTCCGTGCTTTGTGAGGTTCTGCAGTTGCAACTTTTTCGCAACGCGGAGAGAAACAACTTCTTCTCGATGTTGTTCTGCCATTCTGTCACCATCTCATCTTCTCTCGGCTTCGTCGACCGTCATCCACCATTCACATCCAACGACAGCTGTAGAGTAAACATCACCATCATTCAACGGCCCGATCACATACGCTCGTCAAACCCAGCTGGCTGCACTGTCTCTGGTTGGGATGCTCATCTGAGCACAGACCTTGTCCGATCCCACCCTTAACAAGCCCGGAAGGAGTCTGCGAGGTCCATAGACCACTGCTTTGTTCTTCACAGAGCTTTGGATCTCGAGGATATTCAACCTTGAAACGAGATTGACACCATGCCGGCTCTTCCAGCTACCTCCACTTCGAACGGCGCAGGCGGTTTTGCCGTCTTCGAACCCGCACGCTTCGAGCGTCTGCATCGCATTGTCAACGAGGCCGCATCCAACCCTGTCCATCTCTCACGCTCCAATGACTGGTTTGTGACCATCGACAGGAATCGTTCCGACTTAGCGGACCTCGGCAAAGTCCGTCCTCCATCTGACGTCGAGCGCAAAGAGATCGAGTCTGGTATGTACTCCACCACCCAGCTTCAGCCCGCCGTACTGCTTGCAGATTATGTCCGCCTTAGAACGCATGCTGACCTCTACCACTTTCACTGATCTCATCTTACAGGCAAAATCACCATCAACGGCAACACACAGAACCTCAATCCTGACTTTGCACAACAGTCGCTCCTGCTAGCTCGCGAACTCGGTGTCTCAGAACACTATGCCGCTTCCTTGCTTCAGCAGGGCCTCGCAGGGCGCGCAAAATGGGGTCGTCCCGCCGTCGAGGTCTCATGCATCCTTTATCACCGTGAGCGACTGGCCTTGCTTGCATGCCTCAAAGAGCTTCTCCGCAACGCACTCACCATGCCCTTCGAGGAGGACGTCGAGGCACAACGCATGGGCATGAAGATGGAGCAGCTCGTTGAGTCGCTCGTGTCCATAGAAACTTCGGTCACCTCCGGTACTGCATCTACCTCGATACGCAAAGTCACCCTCGCCGAACGAATCCTGGTCGAGATCGACAACGCCAAGCAGTCCGCTGCACGTGTCAAAACATCGCTCGAATCGCCCAACTCCAATACCGCCAACCAAGGCATCCAGACACAGACCTCCAACTTCCTCGGTCTCGGCACCAGCCAGTCCGCCTCACAACCCGCATCCTCATCCACAGCTATCAACGCCAGACTCAGCGACGAGATTCAGCTCGACCGTCTTGGCTGGCTGCGAGAAGAGCGACGCGAGCTCGGTCACGTGCTCTACTTGCTTTCCATCTCGTCCCTCTTGACACCGTCCAACATCTCGGCTATCCTTCGATGGCTCGCCGCTGTGTCTGCAGAGACTTACGATGAGATGACCATCTACATTCTGACTGCACTTCTTGGTGCCATCGACGCAACCCCAGATGCTCGTGCTGCTATGGCGGATCGAACCAGCCGAGGCACCCTTCGCAAGACCGTAGAGAACTTGCTCGATGACGAGTCCTTCATCGCATCTACACATGCCGAGATCACACGCAAAAAATGGGCACTAGGCGAGCTCAACAGCGCTGTCGCCCTTCAATGGTCGATCTTCCTGGTTGAGGCTTTCTCGCGCAACCCAACCTTCCGCAACCAGCTATCCATCTCCGAAGAGCAAATTCAGGATCTAGTGCTGCAATCTATCACTGGCTCGTCGCTCTCCAAAGACTCCAAGTCGGCAAGTGCAGATGCCCCCACCGGTGGTGCTTTCATCTTCCTCGTCGTCAGGATTCTTGCCTTCCGTCAAAAGACGATCGATGCACTTTTTGGTGAAGAAGAAGGTGCTGTTGCTGCCGAGGCAGACGCAGCTGCTGGTGATGTTGCCGACACCGTTGCTTGGGATGATGAAGTTGATGCCGAATTCCGCGAGTACGTCGTTCAGCAAATTCACAACCTTGCCGTCGGCACCACATCGATCATGCTACCCATGCTTCGACGCATTCAGCGCTCAGAAGAGGACGCTGCTTTCGCTCTTTCGAGGGGTGTCAGCACAAGAGGTGGATCAGCGCCACCAGAGCGCAGGTACGACATCGAAGCTCTCTTTGATCTTATCGCCCTTCTCTGCCGTGGTCGACCTGAAGCAGGTCTGCCTTTCTGGGTCGGACCCGACAACCGCACCACGCGCTTCCTGGCATGGGCCATTGACGTACGCGAGCCAGGTCACCAACGTGCTTTGCTGAACATGCTTGCTGCAATGTCGTCAGGCCCATCGAGTGCCAGCCAAGCTTATGCGCTGCTCGATCAGGAAAGTGGCCAGAACGGTGTCGCTGGTGAAGGCCGTCTTGTTTCGTGGAGTCGTTTCTTTGAGTGGATCACATATTACATCGACACCTTCCACCAAGCGGTTAACTCGTCGTCGTTCCACCCTTCAAGCTACCAGACACTCGCCATGCCGAAGAACGAGGAAACTTTGCTCATCGGCTTCGTCCGTCTCTTCCGCAATGTCATCTACTTTTCGCATCCAGCTCGCGACGCACTGCTGCAGAACCCGACCTACAATGCCCTCGACAAGCTCTTCTCGTTGCTCACCTGCCCTGTGCCTGTCGAGCTGAAGGCCAGCATCCTCTACGCGCTTTCAGCCTTCCTTCATCATTCAACCAGCAACCCTGCCGCCCGAGCTCGATTTTCGACGATAGCGACACAGCTCTGGGATCGTTTCGATGAGTGCGGCCTGCTTCCTTCTGACGATGCTGCCGCCAAGTCCCGACCCAATGGTCAGCCAACACCATCGAGCGCATTCGGTCCATCTTTCAAGCCGCTGGCTTCGAAGGGCGTACTGTATGAGCTCGAAAACTTTGAAGTGCCACTGCGCACCTTCCCCGGCTCCACCAGCTTTGTCAACTTCTTGAAGGCTCTCGTGCAGTTGCCGACGAGCTTCCTCGCAGCAGGCTCCAACGCGCTTGTTGACACCGCATCAACTTCGGCAACCGGCGCCAATCCCTTCAGCACCATCGTCGCATATGACCAGCAGTCGCAACAACAGATCCAATCACATGGTCAACCAAGCTACCAACAACCTCACGCAAGCCAACGCAGACAGTTCCGATCCGTCGAGCCTTACGTCGACTTTGTCATCGACCACGTCTTCCTCAAAGCTCGAACTCGTGACTACGTCGAGCCTGCTGAGCAGTGGCGCGTTGTTGCATCGTGTCTCGATTTCGTCGAACGCTCGTTGCGATCCTACGACTTGGCCGCCCTCCTTCGCAGCAGCGAAGGCACCGACGCTGTCTCTGATCCAGCTTTGCTCACACAGCTTGCCTCCCATCCTGGGTTCTTCCTGATGCGTCGTATTCTTACTGGCTCCAAGATGGTCGGTGAGATGCTCGGGATCCTCGTCCCTGGCTCTGGTCTCGCTGCCTTCGAGGCGATTAACCAGAACCGCGCCAGCACATTCTTCTATGGCAGCTCGGTCCGACACGTCCTCAGCATCCTAGACCGCGTGCTCCGCTACCAGGACCTGTTTGTGCAAGTGCTTATCCCCACACTTGTCGACGCCAACCTCAACGGCGTTCAATTGCCCTTCGACGTCTCGGCGCGCATCGGAAACTCCGCCACCTACAGCAGCTTCGATATTCAGCTTCTCCACGCACACGAGTCCGTCGTTCAGATCGCTCTGCTTATCAACTGTGTGCGTGATGACGTTGCGTTGCTTTCTGTTCGTCTGCTCGGCCTCATCGCCCGTACTGCTGCGTTCAGCGCTGTTGACCGCTTCGGCGAGATGGGCTACCGACGGAAGATGAACCGTCTTGTCGGCTTGCTCGAGATGAGCGACGAGGCAGGTCGTGTGAAAGCTGGCTATGTTGGTCGACTCGAGGCAGAGTCATCTGGCGATGCAGGTAGCGCAAAGATTCTCGAGACCCTCAACGCTCTTGCAGGGGGAGCTGATGTGGAGGACGATGAGGATGCTGATCTGCACGCATCTAACGGCAAGTTGGACAGCGCAGGGGCTTTGACATCAGGTGACGCAGTCGAGGCAATCCAGATTGCCATTGTCAACCTCTTGCTTGCCGGAACGGAGCTCAACCAACCCGCACCAAATGTTGTCCACCTCTTGCTCGGATACGACTTACGCGCAGTGCGGCCCGAGGAGCAAGTCATCATCGATCCCGATGCGCAAACTGCTCCACCCAGCGCGATTCACGCCATTCTCGCACTCTTGCGACCCGAGTCTGACGGCGAAGGTGCATCCTTCTTGAGCTTGGCCGAGCGATCGCCAGGCTTCGCGGAGAAGTGCTGTGCACTCATTCTTCGCCTCTGCACACATCCTTTCACTAACGCCGCGACCTTGCGGTACCTGCGAACCAAGGAGGACTTCGTCGTTCAGCAGCTGCGCAGTCTGTCGTTGGTGCCTGCTGAGCGTGCAACTTTGACTGCCAGCTCGGCTGCTTTGGGTCTGGTGCAGTTTGCAGATGGACAAGCCATCGAGACAACAGTCGATCGTGTCACCGCTTCCCTCCGCATGCGTGCCTCGTTGCTCGAGCTCGCCGCTCTCGAGCTGCACTCGCTCCTCAACGCAGGCATGCAATCTCGGGCTGCTCGTGTTGTGGCTGCCCTCTTCGGTTTCAACTCCACCGTTGGCGGTGGCAGTGGCCTTGACGCTGACGATAGCGTCGATGAGGATGACCTCTTGCTCGGCACTGAGCGCGATTTCCGCTTAGGTGCTGGTGGTGCCGAGGTCCGCACCTTTGGTGGTGTCCGCTTCCTCGAGATCCTCCAGAGTCTAGACTTTGAATGGTACGATGATCGCGAAGCTTTGGGCCAAAACATCAGCGTTATCACTGCCGAGCAGCTCGAGCTTGCCAAGCGCCCCGACGCTGTTGTCGGACCTCGCCTTTACGACCTCGGTGCTGTCCTAGCGATTCTTGTGCGCGAGAAGACACTCCTTCAGCAGAAGGGCAGCCTTCGCGATGCAGGTCAAGCCAACCCCTTCCTCGAGCAAGCCGCTTTTGTGCTTCAGTGGGCTTCGGCTCAGAACGCCAAGAAGGCTGTCGCATTCTCTCGCAGACGTGTACTGCAAGCGTGGCGCCACACCATCGACATGGTGTTGGCCCGCGCTGCAGGCTTGCTTCGCACTGAGGTTCGATCGAGTCTCATGTTTGACTGTCTGTCCGAGCTGCTTCCACGCATCTCGGCACCTTCGACTGATGTTGGTGGTCTCGATGTGCCCTCGGCAGATCTTGTCGCTGGAGCAGTGCTCTCGCTGCTCACTTCCCTGCGACAGCACCGTACGGAACTGACTACAGGCGCACTCGACCTCGAGAGTGTAGATGCTCTTCCGGTCGATCGTCTCTTGACCACATTGCGTGCCCTCATTGACTCAGTGCTTCGACTCGAGACAACGACTTTGGCTCGCGGCAACCTCTACTCGGCACTGATCAACCTTCTCCAGCTGGTGAAGTCCGGCCACGGTCCCGACGCTAGTGGAGAAGCAGGTGTAAACGACGGTGCATCGATCATCGCGACCGATCTGGAAGAGACGATGTCTGTCGGTGGCGTCTCGACCACTACGACAAACATCTTTGGCGGTCGTGCCCAGACGAGCAGCTTGGAAGCACGAACACGCACGTTGCTGTTGTCACACGCTGAACGCCTTATGGACGTGCTTGGCCGCGACGCACTCGATGCCAGCGACTTGTCCAAGACGATCGCCTTCACACTGCTTGACAAACTCTGCGCTCTCGATGCGCCCTCCTCGTCCAGTGCTTCTTCCCGTCGTGGAGGCTCGAGATGCCTCGACCTGCTCGACCGCAAGGGCTATATCAAGAGCTTCGTCACCGCCCTCCGAGACTCCGACTTGGCACTGCAAGAAACCCTTCGACCGGACCCTGCTAGTCTCAACGCCATCTACGTGTATGAAGCACGCTTGGCCTTTTTCAACCGGATGGCACAAACCCGTGACGGCGCTGAGCGACTCCTCAATGCCAAGGTCTTTGACGTGCTCGCTCAGTCCGACTATCTTGCCGCACGACCGGACCAGGACCAGGAGTTTGTTGACTTGGACAGCTTCTTGCCCGCTGCTACAGAGCGCTACAATGCATTATTGACTCCAGTTTTGCAGCTTACGACCAGCATCCTAGCCAGCACATCGGCCACATCGGCCTTCGGCGGTGGCTCAAGTCAGGGCGCTTTCGGCATCTCCAAGGCGTTGGCTCCAACTTCAGCCTCAGCTGCTCCTCGTCATGCGCTGGCGTTGTTGACTGCTCACCGGGACGCTTTGCTGACAGTGCTTCGCGCTCCGCTGCAGGAGTTCTGCTCGTTCGCTCAGCTCGGACAGGCTCACTTGGCGGTAGCCATCTTCGTGCTGATCATGCCTTCGCTCGATGACGACGCGCAGCAGGCGCCCAGCCCGTTGGCACCGTTCCATTCTGCTATCCTCGCCTTTGCTGCTGTCTATCTGCACAGTGCTTCTTGGCGATCGCGTGTGGTACCTTACAATGAAGCTGAGCGCGAAGAAGCTCGCATGCCCACAACTTGTCTGCGTGCCCTTCGCGCGTCGAGCGAGGCACCCAATGGTGGCAGTGTCGGAGTTGAGGAGGAGAACGCCTTCAGCGCCAAAGTCTGCGCGATGGTCGTCAGACTCCAAATGACGCTTCTCTCCTACCTTGAAGCGGCCAGCGATGCACGTGGCAGCAACGCTCGTATCCGGCCCGCCCTCATCCCCTCGTTGACAGCCAACCGAGAACGATCACGCACACCCTATGGTGGAACTGACGAGGACGGCGATTCTTCCCGCGTCGGCTTCCTTCGTTCGCAGCGCGCCAATGCAGCGTTCTCAAGCGTCCCTAGCATCGGCAGTCTCGTCGCTGCACTTGACGAGTACGCCGACTCCGCTTCCAGGGAGCTCCAAGGTCTCGAGAACATCGACACGCTTCTCGAAAACGTCGACCCCGTCCGTCAGGACGAACTTGACGAGATCGCACGCGATGCACTCGGCGAGCTCTCCGCTGGCGAACTTTCTCCGGCTCAACGCCGCTCTGTCGCTCTTCGTCAGCTGCGCATTCGCAAATCGACGCTTCGCGCCTCTTCCACGTCCAAGCTCGACGCTGTTGAATTGATCTTGGTGCTGCTAATCAGGCATGTTGAGTTCTTCCGCACCCTCAGCACGGATCGCAACCAGCTCGCTGTGGGCGCCAGAGCTTCTCCAGCTCCAGGATCGCACTTTGACCGCAACAACTTGATGCAAGGCTTGGCCGAGTCGTTGATGCCTGTGGTTGAAGACAAGATTGGGTATCTGTCACTGCCACCTAGTCTTGTCGCCAACGCGAGGGAGAGACAGAGCTTCTTGCAGATGGCTGGTCGACGATTGGCTAGCTTCTTCACCGATGCTGAGTAGAAATGCTCACCACTCATTCGCAGAAATCACTTCTTGTATCACACACATATTGAAATTAATGCTAGAAACACAAATGCTGTTCTTTGTTACGTAACGTAGACACATGAGCTGAGTTGAATCCTGAGTCTCAGCTGGTTAGCAAGTTGGTTCTAAGCCTCATAAAGGCAAATAGTTGAATTTATGTGCAATTACAAATAGAAATTGATATAAAGTGATCCGAATTAGTTTAGTGGCTATGACGGCGCCTTGTCAAACAAATCTCCGCGTTCAATACGGCGCAGACCCGGGTTCAATTCCCGGATTCGGAGAATATGATTTTTTTATCATTTTATATTTGATACGCCTGAAGCCGACTTCATCATTTTAAGACCTTCTGCTGGTTTCTTTTTGGTGCGTCCACTTCGATATTACATAGCCAGGCTGGAGCGCAGTGTAACAATAGAATGGATTCTGGCAGATGCTGCCGGGTATATTGCATGACAAGTAAGGAAGAGAATGTAAGGAGGGTGAACCGATGCTTTTCAGATAGTAATCGAGTTGATCTGTTTCCGCGATTGTGCGAGTAGCGCTTGCGTCTCTGGATCCAGATCTGAGTTTGTTACCGCCTTTCTTGATGCTTTTGCTCCTTTTGCTTCTGCGTCTGGTACTGGCATGGGTACGTCAGCTGCAATAGTGCTGTCAGCGCCAAGCGCCTCTCCCAAATCCTCCTCGTCGTCTATCGCTGCAAGTGAGACCACGGGGACCGCAGCGATCTCTTTCTCGACAATCGGAGCTATTGAAGCCTTGGACCCTTTTGGATTCGTATCCGTCGCAGCAAGTTTCCTCTGCTTAGCCCTCAATCGCGTAATCAACTTCCTATCTAGCTCAATTGCCTTGTTTTGTACCTTCTTGATTGTACCTCCACAGTGAATGACCCTGATCCTCAAAGATGGTAGCTTCAAGCTCCCTGAGCTGCCTGCACCTTCTCCTACCACCATCTCCACAGGACTCGAAATCAATGTCGCACTAGCCCAAACCAGTCTTGCTGCATCACGCGAGCATCGTAAAATAGCAGTGCCGGTGTGCGTGCTGTAGTACTTGCAAGTAAGTACACCACCGAACGCGCCCGCAGCTACGTCTCCAAAGTTGTACAGTAATGATGCACGGAGTAATCGTGTGATGAGTTGAGGTGTGAGTGCGGATGCTGCATTGGCTTCTGCGCGAGTTTGTTGTGCTGCGGAAAGGGTCTTTGCGGAGGCGGATGCCTGAGATGACTCGTCGAGAGTGGATGCAAAGGGTGAGGTGGTGGCCAGTGGCTTGTCATCGATCGCTAGAAGTAGCCATCGGGTCTTGAAGCGCACCATTGTGGCCTAGATTGCTGCGGTGAACGAAGTGGAAGGATGGAGGATAGTAAAGAGATGATGAGCGTTTCTTCTGGTCGCGAAGAAGAAAGTTGGACCCTTCTTTTGAGAAGTCACACGGCCAAATTTTCTAAAATCACCTCCACCTTGCGGCTTGGACAGGACTGTGTTCTGCTGCCACAACCTTATTATTCAGCTTGCGGAAGCGTTTCGGCAATCAAACTGCATTTTGAGCTGAGCTATTCCGCAAACTCGAGGTGGCGACACAACCTTCCTTCCGCTCATCATGCTCAACTTCTTCTCAGCCTCATCATTTGTAGCACTACGTCTCTCGAAAGCAAATGCAGCAGGTCTGCCTTCACACGAGTGCACCAGCACACTTATAGCAGAGCAAGATGAATGACGTGCTCGAGGAATGCCGCCAACGGCAGGAGGACGAGATCGTCGCTTTGGAGTCCATCTTTGCTTTTCCTGAAGGCAGCGATGAGGATGCGGGCGAAGGCTCAAGGCCGGCTGAGCCAAGAGTTAAGTTGATACAGAGAGACCCGGAACCCGTCCTAGAGCTATACCTTCCGATCACATTGCCACGACCCACTCGAATCCTCGTAGACACGTACGCATACGACACACATCAAACCACGGGAGCGTTTCCTCCCGCACGCAACGAAATCAATAGTTTCACAACACCGCCGAAACAACTAGCACCTGTAGCAAGGGACTTGACAACAGCACCGCCGGCAGCGAAGGGCAAGCAGCGTAATGGCAGGAATCGAGCTCGCAAAGATGGTCACCTCAATGCAGGTGCAAACGTCTTTCAGCCAGGCGGAAGCGCTTCAGCGAAGAACTCTGAAGTGGGTCGAACAACGTCGCTTTCATATCATGCATCTACTGCGTCAATAGAAGAGGCAGTCGATGCTGTCGGACGGATCAGCCTGCGGTCTGAGTCTCCTGCAGGCCCTTCAACCGGCAACGGACTCTCATCCAACCCGCCAGCACAACGCTCTCGGCCACGAACGACAAAGCAACTTCCAGCCCTCTCTCATCTAGCACCCATTACTTTGAAGGTCCGCCTGCCTTCTACTTACCCATCTGAGCAACCACCTATCGTCGAAATACTCACAGCGCCATGGCTTCCCACGAACATACAGCGCAAACACTCCTCTCTCACCTGGCTCCAGCAAAAGCTCGACGAACAGTATCATGAGATGGCTGGCCTGGAAGTACTTTACATTTGGGCGACCTATATCTCCGAAGGCTTATGGATTCAGCTCCTCGAAGACCAGCCCTCTCCAGAGGACGTCCCACCTTTTCTTCAGCCACCAGACTTATCAGCATCTGACACGACAGAAGCAAAGCTACGCTTCGAGGAGCACCTCGAGACACCGGACGACCGACCACGGCTCGCAGCACAACTCCTCTCACATTCACGACTGTGCAGCCGCACTACTTTTGATGCTTCCTCATTCGACTGCGCCATCTGTCTTGAGACACGCAAAGGCCGCGCTTGCACACGGCTCACCGGTTGTGGTCATGTCTTCTGTTCAGAGTGCCTCGCAGGCTATCTCTCGAGCTTGGTCGATGATGGATACCACCGTCAAGCGAAGCGCTGCCCTAACCCGGAGTGCGTCACGCTGTGGAGCGAGAGAGAGAAACAGAATCAGGTAGATCAGGAGGGCAATCTTCTTATGAGTCCTTCCAGCAAGCCCAAACCTCGATCGCCACAGCCTTTCTCCAGAGACAATAATACTGCACAGAACGGGGACGCAGGAGCAGACAGCGAGCCAGCAGTAGTAGTCGGACTCGTGACCCGTGACGAACTGCACTCCATCCTCGGCCCATCCCGCCTGGCACGCCTCGAAGAGCTCACAGTCAAAGCCAAAATGGAAGCTGATCCTTCCGTCTCCTACTGTCCACGCTCTGGCTGTCAAGCCGCCGTCGTCCGCCTCTCTACAGATGAGAACTCCGGTCACTGGGAACGATTCCGCGAATGTCTCTTCTGCGGCTTCGCCTTCTGTGCGTGGTGTTCACGTTCCTGGCATGGCCTGACCTCATGCCCCGTCTCGTTCCAATCCGAACTCATTCGACGGTACCTTTCCCTCCCCACCTCTTCACCCGAGCGTAGGGTCATGGAGCAGAAGTTCGGCCGCAAAACATTAGAGACTATGGTCCGCAAATACGAAGAAGAGCAACAAACCCAACAGTGGCTCAGCGACTACACCACCCCCTGTCCCACCTGTGGAATCGCCATCGAGAAGAGCTATGGTTGTAATCATATGACTTGCAAGAGCTGTCAGACGCATTACTGCTATTTGTGCGGGAAGGCGATTTCAGCTCAGAATCCTTATGGGCATTTCAATACGCCAGGGTACGAGTGCTACCATCGACTGTTTGATGGTTTGTTGGGTGATCAGGATCCTCGGCGGCAAGAGCATGGACAACAGGGAGAGAGAGGTGGAAATGAAGCGAGAGACAGGGGCCACGAAGATGGAGGGCCTGGATTTGCGCTGTTAATGGACGAGAATGGCATCCCAATACATCTGCTGGAGGAGGAGGAACAGATCAATTTTTTGGCTTGGCAGCAATTTGGCTGACCTCTTCACGATACGACTCATCGACTGCATTGTACACTAGCACCAAAATAGCAACCTTTGCTTGGCATGTCGCCATGCTTACCAATGCCTGAGATGTTCGCTTTTATATCCAACCTATTCATCATCGAAAATTACACAGAAATTGCTGATGTTACATAACGGCTATGTAGCAGCTAGCGAGCACCGATAGGATCCGAATTAGTTTAGTGGCTATGACGGCGCCTTGTCAAACAAATCTCCGCGTTTAATACGGCGCAGACCCGGGTTCAATTCCCGGATTCGGAGAATATGAAAGATCTTCTATTTTTGCTTCTTATGAAAACGACCTTGCCATGGTGTCACGCTTGCTTTTTGTGAGCCGTGATTGCGGGAGAGGTAGGGTGCTGATAATGGTCAAAGAAGGCCAGGCTAACAGCCAGAGACGGCTTCGTTGCGGTGCACAGAGACGTCCGCATTGAAACGGAAAGCAGTCCACCAACTGTCAGCAAACAAATTGAAACCAGGGACCCTTCAGCAAGCAACATGTTGGTCATCCTCATCCGAACATCAAGGAGCTCTAATGCAACCAAGAACGGGCTCTCAGTCTCAGCTCTCGTTGACTGAGGACATTTGTAAGCTGGATATAAGTGTCGCAAGAAGACGCACAGGGTCCAACGTCGGCTGCAGAGAAAAAGGTTCAAATTTGTTTACCGTTTGCACAGCAACGATGAGGTTTCACCTCCGTGACGGCAAGGACGCAGGAACCAAAAGGAAGCGAAACCAAGGCATTATCCAAAGTGGAACGGCAAAAGCCAAAAAGAAGTCACTCCGAATCCGGGAATTGAACCCGGGTCTGCGCCGTATTAAACGCGGAGATTTGTTTGACAAGGCGCCGTCATAGCCACTAAACTAATTCGGACGCGATGTGTTGTCCCGAATGTCGGTTGTACCTATATATACACGGGCGGCCATTGATGAATCACTCGCTCTCGAACCGCCCATCTTCTGATTGATGTTGCTTCTTGATAGGATTTCCTTGTTGGAACCATGAGATGCGGGTCGCGGATATGCCCGGATGGGAATCAAGCCGTACTGTGGCGTAGAACTGAGGTCCAAGCGCTTACTTCCAAGGGACCACATTATCAGACCACGTCACAGCAGCGATTAGAGCTGATTGTGATCACTGCTTTCCACGACCCGCAGGTCTATCATTGGCCTGTTCTTGGCCCGCCGGATGACGGACACAAAGTTTCGGAAGTTGTCACTGTGCAGAGTAGTACAGGAGATGGATGTCAGCTTGAATGACGATGATAACGCGTTATGATGCTGACCACAAACTGGACCCTTACACGCTCACGTTTGCGAGCAGGAAGCCAACAGGAAAGAGAGAGCCGAGTGAAAATCCTGAATAATTACCGGCCTTGCTTATCCGGACATATGTACAGCAAAGACGCTCAGCTCTGTCCTTGGACTTTGAAAGGCAAGGCTGCAAGACTACGCAACGTGGACTGTTGTCCGCCGCATTCAAGCCGAGATGACTATCGTGGCAGAGAGTCGCTCGGAAGATCCGACAGAGGCGATTGTCCATCGCTTATTCCTCGGATACAAGTGCCGAAAGGCTGAGAGAGCGTAGTCGGATGCGCCGGATCTTTCAGAGAAACCTGGATTCTATATTTCTGGCTGCAATTTTCCGCTTCCTCGATGAAAATGAGCTACTGCAGCACGCACGGTTCAGGGCTGAGTTTGTTTGCATTCACATCCTCCTCTCCCTCTGCTTTCCCGAGCCTTGTCATCCTTCGGTCCACCCGAACATCTCTACCCTCTCATCCTCCATATCATCCCGACGATCGCGCTTCATACACCACCACGGCAGAAGGCATCCGCACCGGCTCCTTGCTGATCAATAGAGCGGATCACAGCTAAGCCAAGCTTCTCCAACATGGTGGGCCTCCGCCCCCTGTTCGGGACACGCGCCAGCGTTGAAAACGTTCATGACAGCTTTGGAAAGACGGTCGAGCTGGTCAAGTCGAGCGAGAGCGACCGTGCTCCTCCTCCTCAAGACAATCAAAAACAGTCCTCAGCTACCCCTCCTTCATTCGAGACACCAATCCCACACAATAACGCAAACAAGGCTCAGATAGACCAACATCAAAAGGAACAGGCAGAGCAGCATCATGGTGGCAACTCGCTCGCTGGGTTGCTAAACGGCGCCGCTCTCATGTCGCCTCAAGACGATCACTCACAGCCTGAGGACCATCGCTACGATCACAGTGTCGACTCGCAAGCAGCTGCTCCCGCCGCTACATCCACCACCGACTCACAGCACGCTCGAAAGTCATCTCAAGACTCTCCTGGATGGAAGCAATCCGCCAAAGAAGCCGAATCCTCCGACCAGCACGAGTCCCAGCGTGCTAGCAGCCGCTTTGGCCAGACCCTCAAGAAGCTCGATGCCAAGATTCGCACCACCCTCGGTGTCAACCCTCCACCTACAGCCCAAGAGATTCGAAGTCCTTACTCCATCGGAACCGACGACCATTTTGCCAGTCGCACCAGCCTAGGTGCCGTCGAATTCCTCAAAGATGCTAGTATTGAGACCATGCAGCATCTTACAGATGATGAAGATGACGATGATGAAGATGACGATGATGACTTGGACGCAGCTGATTCAGATCACGAGCACGAACACGATGACGACGATGACAAGACAGTGGCCGACCATGGCGCCCACGACCGGTCGAAGCCCGACGTTGTCAGAATCCAAAAGGACGTCGAAGAGCTTAACCGTGTCAAGAGCGATGCTGAAAAGCGTCGGTCTGACTCCTTAGATCAGACTCGACCCGGCGATAGTGTACGCACAAAGGCTCCCGTTCAGGTCTCGTTGGAGGAAAAGATGAAGGCCATCATCGATGAATTCGGAGAATGTCCTTCCCTCTCCAGACCCAACGAGCCCGAAAAGCTACTCGTCGACCTCACTGCTGTCCTTGTCAAGACTGTTCTCATCAAAGGCAATCTCTTCTTGACAAATCGACGAATCTGCTTCCTTGCTTACATCCCGAATGACCAAACCGATGCTGAACAGTCCGACAGCTCCAAAGTCGAGGGCCACGGTGACACTCACTCTTCTGATGTTCGCGCGCCACTGGATCCAAACGTTCAGAATCCAATTCTCAAGTCGGGTCCTGCTATCATCCATCGACCTGGAAAGATGCGTCCCAAACGACGAGTCTGGATCGAACTTCGCAAACACTCTTTCAACGCCTATTCGGCCAGCAACAAGCTCTACAAGCCCCTCATGTCGGCTCGTCTCAACAATCTCTATGCTGTTCTGCCCACAGACTGGTCCCAACCACATATCATTCGATTTGTCGAAGGTGTCCAGTATAGCTCCATCGAATTCAAGACACAAGAAGCTGCTCTCGATTGGCGCAAAGAGCTCGAGGCTGCCGCCTTCCACGCCCGCAACACTGCCGAGAAGGTGCGCATTAGTATCCCTCTCGAACGCGTCGTCGGGATGGACGCCACTCCTTTCTTGCAAGTTGCTAAGGTTGTTCATCTCGACGTCCTCGTCGGCTCCGTCAATGAGGAAGAGTTTGCTGTCGCCGAAAAGGAACGCAAGGAACGCGAGCAGCGCCATCAACTTGTTGAACACAGCTGGTCTTACAACAACTTCTTCGTCAACTGTCCCAAGAATCCCAACTTCAAGTGTCACATCACACAACTCGCATTCGGAGTCACACACAATCGAGCTGCTTTCATTGACCTCCTTCGCGAAGCGCTCAAGAGTCCCAGGGCCACACACGATCCACTTGGTTTCGAGGAGCTCCTCAGTGCTGTTCCCGCTCCGCTGCTCGACCTTGAAGGCGGACCGGACGTTGAAGACCCCCCCAGCGGCGGCAACGACTCGTCCGACGATCAGCACAAGCGAACTCTTGCCGAAAAGTTCTGCCATGCCTTTGGTTTGCCCTCTCTTCCCGAAGAGCTCCAGCTGGTCAAGTGCGAGCTCGTTCGTACTCTGCACACCCATGGAACAATGGCCATTGGACTTCAGTACCTGCTCTTCTGGCGCAGAGCTGTCGGTAGAGGCCTCAAGATCAAAGTCCCTCTCAACGACATTCAAGGCGTCGATACCTACAGATCCATGCTCTGGCATCATCACGGTCTTGTCGTTCACATCCGTGCCCACTCGGACATGTTCTTTGACTTTGTGTCCAAAGGCAACCGCGACATGGTGCTTTCCACGCTCAAGCGCGTCGTTCAAGCCAAAGACGATAACAAGAAAGAAGCAGACGGAGCTAGCTTCGTCACTACGACCACCACTCACGATGGCAGTCAAGACAGTCATACGACAAAGATTGATGGAGATTCTTCGACTGATTCGCAGCAGGCGTCGAAGGAGAGTGCGACGGAAGCGCTCCTGCGAAATGCCGAGGGCGAGGTGCCTCTCTTCGAGCCCGACATGCTTGCCTACCTCCCCAAGGTCGTCAATCTTGACCGCAACAGCCAACGCGATGCCCTTCGTATCTTGCCCATGCGTATCTACTGTCTTACCATCGGCTCGCGTGGTGATGTCCAGCCTTACATTGCGCTCTGCAAGGCGCTCAAGGAGCACGGTCACACACCTGTCATTGTCTCGCACCCTGAATACCGAGGTTGGGTGGAAGGGCATGGCATCGAATACCGTGGCGTGGGTGGTGATCCAGCAGCACTGATGAAGCTCAGTGTCGAGCATCGCATTTTTTCACCCGCCTTCTTCCGCGAGAGTATTGGCAAGTTCCGCGTCTGGCTTGACGAGCTCTTGCGAGAGTGCTGGGAAGAGTGTCAGGGTGCAGATCTGCTCATCGAGTCTCCTTCCACCATGGCAGGTATTCACGTCGCTGAAGGGTTGGGTATTCCGTATTTCCGCGCCTTTACCATGCCCTGGACCAAGACTTCTGCTTATCCACAAGCATTCAGCGTGCCGTCGATCGAGATGGGTCCCTCGTATAACTCTTCGTCCTATGTGCTGTTCGATCAGATCATGTGGGTGGCCACTAGCGGTCAAATTAATCGATGGCGCAAGCACATGGTCGGAATCGGCCCCACCGACTGGTCGAAGCTTGATGCAGACTCGGTACCATTCATATACAATTTCTCGCCAGCTGTCGTGCCTATGCCTAATGACTGGGGAGACCGAGTCAAGATCTCCGGTTACTGGTTCCTCGACAATCCCGAATCGAACTGGTCTCCACCCAAGGAGATGGCTGTCTTCTTGAAGCGTGCGAAGAAGGACGGAAAGAAGATCGCCTACATCGGCTTCGGCTCCATTACTATCGAAAATGCAGAAGAGGTGTCGGCAAACATCATGAGGGCTGTACATCAGGCCGACGTTCGAGCTATTGTCGCCAAAGGCTGGAGTGGCCGAGGCGGTTCCAAGCCAAAGAAGAAAAAGAAGCAGCCCCATCCACAGCAACAAAAACCACAACAGCAACACTCGACTTCTCAGAACGACAGCGAAGACACAGCTACCGAAGAGGAGCACGATTCAGAAATCGAGCTCCCCGATGATGTCTTTGTCGTCGACTCTGTTCCACACGACTGGCTCTTCCCTCAGATCGATATTGCTATGCACCATGGAGGTGCTGGTACAACTGGTGCTTCGTTGCGCGCAGGTCTGGTGACGCTGATCAAGCCTTTCTTCGGCGACCAATTCTTCTGGGCTAATCGAGTGCAGAAGCTTGGTGCTGGTGCGCGAGTTAATAGTCTCGGCGTAAGCGATTTGGCAGATGCACTGAAGAGTGCCGCTTCGGACCGAGTTATGGTTGAAAAAGCTCAAGGTGTTGGAGAGCTGATCCGATCCGAAGACGGTGTAGCTACGGCGATCGAGTTCTTGTACAAGAACATTCCTTTGGCTAAGAGGAGGACGCAGAGGAAGATCGATCGTGAAGCATCTCAGAATTCGCCTGCTGGAACGCCGTCAGGTTCGGTGTTCAGCAACCCGCTTTCGAGGTTTTCGTCCCATGGAAGACAGCCAAGCGGCAGCAGCAAGGCGGATCTCACTTCCACCACCCTCGGCGGTACCACCGGTAACGGTGGGAAAGAGAGAAAAGATCAGCACCGATCAGCCACCCTCCCAGCCAAAGCACCCTCTTCCACCCTTTCACCAGCAGGAGAAGAACACACGATTCACCGCTCAGCATCAACAATCGTCGAATCGCCGGAGTCTGAAAACCCCGCATCACCATCCACCACTTCCGCCTCTTCACTCTTCAGCTCCTCCCTCCTTCCTTCGCTCTCATCGCTTAACAGCCTCCCCTCATCCATGGCCTCAACTTTGAAGGAAATGGTCACACTTCAATCCAACACAACGGATACTACAGCTGATGGAGAAGAAGCTGCTCACCATACCCTAGGTGAGAGGTCGGCGACTACACCAGCAGGTGCAACAGAGATGGGAGAAGAAACGGAAGAGCAGAAAATGGCTAGATTGAAAGGTTATAAGAATGCCAAAGCTGAAGATATCAGAAGGAGAAAGTTGTTGCAGGAGAGATTGGCCAGGGAGAAGTTGGAAAAGGAGGAAAAGAGCAAGTTGAGTGAGGTTAGGGAAAGTGAGGAGCAGAGCCAAACCACGTAGTAGATGCGAAGGATGGTTGACTAGAATGCACGTAATGACAGGAAGGTGGATGGAAATTTGGAAGATACCTCATAGTAATGCTACATCTGTACTACTCTGCTTTGTGATGAATGTGATCGCGATGAGCGGGATAACGCTTTAGGACGCAGATCCTAGGATACTAGGGTCAGCGAGGTGGCTCGCTGGCTCAAAGGTTCCCAGCCTGCCGTAAGGGGGCCGGTTCCAGCTCAGATGCGCACGCCATGTCACGTGCAGCATGACTTGAAGTTCCATTCGAGCGCGGAGCTTCTTACTCGGTTCGAATGTGGTGAGCTCTTCTTAACGCGACCTGAAAGGCCAGACCACCTTTTCAAGAATGTTGTAGCTCCGCTGTGGAGCTGAAGCGTCGAGTCAGCTTGACAAGCCGCCTCTCTCTTGCTCCGCTTCGCAAGGGAACACTCAACTCAACCTGTTGGTGAATGGCCAGTTCCCGAAGTTAGGAGTATGGACACACGACACATCAACAAACCAAAATGCCTTCTCGCGCTCACTCAGACACGGACCCTATAGCAGCACAGACACAAACACGACATAAGCGAGTTTTCACCAAGACACCTTATCATTTCACCAATCAACGACTTCTATCTCCCAGACCGCTCCGCCTAGAACTCGAATCCTTCACCTCTAAACTGACCCAAATCAGACCCAACATGTGCTTTCTGAGCCAAATCCATCCTATCCATCACCAAAAAGATCCTCCTCAATGTCGACCAGAGATTGTGACTCTCACCAGCCTCCGCAAGTGGTGTAGGCTTGGGTTGTTCTCCTTCCGGCACATCCGGCAACGTGTGAGTTTGTTGCAAGCTAAGCGCTGCCAACAAGTGCTCTGCTGCTTCGTGGTGCGCTCCAAGATTGAGACACGAAACTGAAAGATTGTAGATAGCTCGAGTGAAAGTTGGTCTGAGCTCGAGCGCCTTGTGGTATGCTGTGATTGCTTCTTCCGGCTTACCACCGTTTGCGAGTGTCGCACCGAGTCGGTTCCAGAGCAAGAAATCGTTGGGTCTAGCACTAAGCGCAGTATTGAAACAATCCTGAGCCTGCTCATACGCAGACTGAGTGTAAAACAACACTCCCAACCCGACCTGCACTTCTGGATCAATCTGTCCCGCCGAGTTACCCTGTCTAGCAGCCTGCAAGAACATATCCGTGACCCTGTTCAAACTCGCCCAAGGATTTCCCTCCGTTCCTTCGATCGGATCTTTCGAGCCTGAAATCTCTGCTGGCAAGGGACCAGCCTTGATGTTGGGGTACGCGCGGTTGATGTACCTCTCGAGCGTCTGGTACGCTGCGGTGTCATAACCTTCGTTTGTGTAAGAAATGGCGAGTGACATGTAGGCTTCGAGATTGTTTTCGTCAATCTTGATCGCTTCTTCCAGAGCACGAATGGCTTGGGCTTCTTTCTCGTTCATGGCTTGGCACTCGCCGAGTCTTCGCCATGCCTCGGAGCGTTCTCGGCGCGAACGATCGACTTCGCCTCTTTCAACTTCCCCTCCTGTGCCACCTTGAGTCTCGCGTTGAGTAGCCACTTCAAAGAGAAGAGCTGCGTCGGAAAGGTTGCCGCCGTTGGCGAGAAGTCGCAAGCCCTCGGATAGCGGATCTGGGTGCGTCTGGAAAGGGTTCTGCTGATTCATCCTGTACAGACCCAAGCGAGGGTATCCATCGGGACCGACAACGCCGAAGCCATCCAGGAGTGCATCTTCTGTACCATCAAGTGCACCCATCTCGTCCAATCCGTTGCGGCCAGCTCCCAAACCACCTGAAGGATGAGCATATCCGAACTGCTCGTCATCGTCTTCTCTGGCCCTCAACATCTCTTCTTCCCACTTGGCCAGCTCTGCATCGGCAGCAGAAGGTGGGATGCCGCTACGTGCGTTCATGGATCGCCAGAGATCTTCAAAGCGAGAGTTGGCTTCTTGTCCATCGGCAGTGAGTTCCTGATCGATAGCGTCAAGTTCGCGTCGGATGGATTCAGCTTGTTCCGCCTCAGATGGGAGGAGATCGGCTTCGGATTCCTTGGCTTTGCCCTTGCCCTTGGACTCGACCTCGGCCTGTTCAGCATCGAGCTTCTTGAACTGCTCTTCCCATTTGGCGTCATCGAGTTCGGTGAAGCGGGATTGCGATGTTTGCGCTTGCTGTGGCTGTTGTTGCTGCGAGAGACCCACAGAACCCATACTACCCATCATGCCCATTCCCATCCCGCCCATACCCATACCACCCATACCCATACCACCCATTCCCATACCGCCGTAAGAACCCATCATAGGGCGAGAGGAATATGCACCTGATGAACCGGAACCATCACCACCTGGCATCTGTTGCATCGTGGGCTGCTGGTGCTGAGGCGAGCCAAACTGTTGAGCCCAAGAAGACGAGCCTGCAGGAGGCTGCATCTGTCGAGCAGGTGCGCCACCTCGAGCAAAAGCGGCTTCCATATCTGCACTGGACGGTGTGCCCGTACGTGGCATCTGATTAGCCCATTGTGCGCCTGCATTAGGACGTTGGAAAGCAGGCATGGTACTGTTGAGTTCGTTGCGTATGGCTTGAAGATCGAACGCCGACGAAGAAGCACCTGGCACAGAAGCGCCTTGCTGCTGACGGAAGAAGGCTTCTGCGTCCGAGTTAGAACCGGCTTGATGCTGCTGTCGCATGCCAGCGGGGCCCATCTGAGGTTGACCTGCGAAAGTGCGATCACCATGTTGAATCGACCGATCTTGCTGAGTGTGTTTGAGCATCTGAGCTAGACCATTGTTACCGGTAGAGCATTCGGCACCGTTGAGCATTGACTGGAATGCCATCGTGTATTTGTTATGATGCTGATTGTTCGAGTGCAATACAGCTGGATGTGTGTGGATGAAGGCGAGGAAGAAGGAAACAAGCAGTGGCAATGGGCGTTCTTACCAATGATTTGCTGCGCAGCGTTTTCTGTGACTTCAGAGTGCGGGGTGATTTGAGTGGAGAATTGCACCGGCGAAATGTGTGACCGTAGAAAAGGCACTCCCGGCCCGGCTGTGCTTCTAAGCGGTGTCGTAAAAAAAGCAGTTGGAAATGGCGATGGCGATTGGACCGGAATTTAGCAATCAGCACAGGCAACTCTCCTCACTGTCACATTACTGGGCGCGCTTCGGCTTTCCACCTCGCAGATTCACTCGGCCGGCACGCCACCACTGGACTCTGTCCTCCTGGTTACTTATGTTCTTCACCCTTACCGCAACATCATGCTTTTTGCAACCAATCATGGCTTGACTTCTCAAGATGACCATGCATGACGCCAAAAGACGACGAGAGAAACTATGAGGCCTCACTTAATCTCCGGTTGCGTCCATGCTAATTGCCCATTGGAGGTCGACACACTCTTCTAGCCAGATGCTTGCACGACGAGGACAGTGACGCCTTCACTGCCTTCCAGCGAGCTCCTTAGTGCTGAGAGCCACTACCTTTGGCTTCAGGCTGGGGTCGCTGCATGAAAATTTGACAGATCGTCACTTGATCTTCGTTTCTTGGATTTCGCTTCACTCTGACCTCGAAGGGATCAGCTCACCTGGAGCAGGAGCAAGTTTGAAGCGGGATATCGTTACGGGGCAGCCTCTCACGCAGGTCCATGCCGAAGCTTCTCAACTCACATGTTGAAGCACAGCTTTCAATCTTATCATCCCACAACCCATATTGCTCATGATCGGCTTCCATTGCCTATCTATTCTCGACATTGAGCGCCTCTCCGATGCTCGGCCCGATCCTACTATCATTCGTTGGGTGTTTTGCTCTCACCACTTGGCACCTGGAGAGCAGCGTCGCTATCCGTCGCCTCATCCCCGCCAGAAGAGTACCGCGGTACCGCTGCTGTTCGTAATGGCCAGTCCGACGTGGCCAGGTACAAGCAAATTCACGAACCACTCGATCATATGCTCACACTGCCTTGATGCCTTCCTGAAGTGAGCGGATCGATTCAATATGGAGACGAAGCTACCTGCCACCTACACTGGTGTCTCTCTGTGGGCACTCAGCTTGGCCGGCTATCTTCCTTCGAACACGACCTTCGCTAAGGCGGCAGGAGACACCATCACCAAGATCTGGACCAAGACCGCTCATCTCTGGCAGTCTGAACTCAACAGCCTCGGCGGGCCTTGGGACCGAACCTACGGGATTGGTCTTTCGGGCTGCGTGAGCTTGCTCGGCTACTCCGTAGCTGGTCTCTTTGATGCTGATGTGAGGAGCTGGCCTGTGCCTTGGAAGCTGTCCGGTGCGTCACATGTCGACGATGCCGCTTTCGCACCTTTGATGGCCATCACCAGCAAGTACCACGATAAGTCTGTCTCGCAAGAGTCGCGCAATTTGTTAAAGCCCAACAAGACTGGCAACAGGTATGGCCGTCTTGTCAAATCGCACGCCTGGTCGCCTCCTTTCGATGCCAATGTTAAGCAGTATGGTCCTCGCAACTACACTGCTTGGATCACACCGAACATCTCTGTCGGTCGTACTGAGATCGACGAAGCTGTCATCGGTGGGCCTGCCAAGAACCCTACTGCATTTACTCCAGCTGTCATGATGTGGCCTAAGCCTGACACGCACTCGCTCAATTACGCTCAGCCATAAGCATCCTGAATGTCGCTCTACCCGACCACCCCGACTATCTCGGCAACCGCTTCTGCGTCCAATTTGACCGTTCGCTTCCCCCCCTCGAAGGCATTTGCAGCCAACTACACTGCCCCGACCCAGATGACGCTCATGTTCGGTATCAGCCCTCTCGCATGGTTGCCTGACGACTTCTTGCTTGCTTCCAACAGGACTGAGGGCAAGCTGCCTGGCATGGAACTAGAGCTGAACGGTAGCGTCGCTTCAGGCGCGGTCAAGCGTTCCATGACGTACGACAGCGAGAAGAATGTCTACGGTTTCTACTACTATAACCTCACCTTTGCACTCGGCGGGCTGGCACAGAACACTGTCCCTCAGCTCGTTGTCTCCTACAAGCTCTCATAAACTAATCACTCCACTTCGGAATAGATACGGAATAGACCTGAGGGAGGAGTTTTACAGATATCGAAGGAATGCATCTATCAGAGATATCATCATCTGGTGTTGAAGCTTTGTCTGTCAGTGAGCTTTGTGTGAGTGTGGGAGATGACGAAGAGGCTGAGCCTGAAAGGAGAAGAACACCTCTCTCTTGACAGGCGAAGGTACGCGACGTGTGTCTGTGCACTTCCGCTGCTGAGTACCTAAAATTTCGACCTGCAAAGAAGCGCGCAGAGGGGCAGATGAGCTGCATTCTGAGACCTTCGCAGAGACCAACACTCATCTGCCTTCTCACCTCCACCAACTCAACCCTCCCTCACACAGACAAGATGGCACTCAACGAACAGCCCTCAAATCCGAAAGCTGATGCTCCTGCTGAGGATGGTGCCGCCAACGGTACTGCCTCAGCAAGACAGCTGATTGACGAATCCAAGCGACACTTTGCACTCAAAGAGTATGCCGCATCCATCGACAAAGTCGCCCATGCTCTCGAGCAGCTTAGTTCCGAATACGCCGAAGACGCCAACGAGCTTGCACCTGTTCTTCATCATTACGGTCGCAGCTTGCTTGAGAACTTCATTATCAACTCGGCTGCTCTTGGTGGTGGCAGTGGATCGGCTCCTCTTCCTGCTCCATTAGCTCCCTCTGCACCTGCCGCGTCTGGGTCCTCTTCCAAACCATCTGGCTCGGGCTCTTCCTCATCCGCAGCCGCAGCAGTCAAGAGCGACCCTCGATTCAGCTTCAGTGGCGACGCAGAAGACGATGATGATGACGAGCAAGAGGAGGGCGCTCCCGGCGCTGCCGGTGGAGAAGATGACGAAGACGATCTCCAAGTCGCATTCTCTGTTCTTGACCTTGCACGTGTCATCTACCAGCGAATTCTCGACTCTGATTCTCCCAAACTCACAACACTTCACGGCCAAGAATGGGACAAGACTCGCATTCAAGCCGAACTAGCAGAAGTCATGAACGATCTAGGCGACGTAGGTCTAGAAGCCGAGAACTTCTCCCAAGCTTCTGCTGACTACCGCTCCAGTCTCGAGATCTTGACTCCTCTTCTGCTGCCGCATTCTCGTCGCCTTGCCGATGCGCATTTGCGTTTGGGTCTTGCACTCGAATTCCACCCTGAGATCGAGCAGCGTAAGGGAGCTAAATCGCACGTTCAGTCGGCGTCTGATGTTCTCGGCAAGCGTATCACTGCTATTCAGTCACGTATCGACAAGTCTGCTCCCGAATCCTCAACGGATGGTAAGGAGAAAGACGATCTCGCCGATCTGTCCGAGCCAGCACTGCAGAAAGAGCTTGAAGAAATGCAAGGAATGAAGAAAGAGATCGACACGAAGCTGGAAGAGTACGACACCGAAGACGGGCAAGCCCAGTTGAACGGAGAGCCAGACCTGACAGGCGTGCTCGGCTTACCAGCTGATGCAGCAGCAAAGGCAAAAGGCGGGATGACAACAAAAGATGCTCTACAGCAGGCGATCAAGGATGCTTTCCTCGGTGCTCAGGCGGAAGGAAGCGAGGAGGGTGTCAACCCATTTACAGGTGCAGCAGCGGCAAAAAGCAGCGATGCGCCAGTCAACAACCTCAGTTCGATGGTCAAGAGGAAGAAGAAGGCCGAGCATGAAGCTGAGGCTGGAGCGGAAGCAAATGGGGAAGCTGATGCGAAGAAGGCTCGTACCGAAGCCTGATCTCCCGCGAATCAGTACTTTATATCACGCTGTAGCTCAATGGTTGTCTAATGATAACCCATATCTAATGCAAGTTTATACCGTCTACAAACCATGTCGAAGATGCGAGTCCCAGAAGGACCAAGTGCCGTTGGTGGCTGCCCTTTTGCCCTCTGGCACGCCCAAGATGCGCGAAACGAGATTATGCACTTCCACGTTTCTGAACCCGTCCATATTCCACCCTCCCTTCCTCCTGCCCTTCTTTTCTTCGGCCAGCGGAGTGAATGAAGGACCACTAGCAACGAATATCGCATGCATATCTTCCTCTTCGTTATCGTACCCATGATTACCTATTGGGGCATAGATGCCGTTTGCAAACGTGGCCATCTCGTGGTGCGTTGTAATTGACCACCCCAACCTCGGAATCATCCAGAGTGGCGCTAATCTGTCCTCCACCACCGATGATTGCAGATGGAAGCGTTCGGGCAGTTCTTCTCGCCGATACACGTCGAACCCTGCGTTACGCTTCTTTGCAGCAGCTGCAAGGATCACATACGCCCTTCTCGCACTCTCTTCCCTCTCCCTCTCCGTGCGTCCACGGAGTCGCAACCCAGCAAGCGGCCACGCATCCCTGCTCTCCACCATCTCATACAGCTCCCGTCCAAGCACAGTATCCAAGAAGATCAACTTATGATTACTAGTCTCAGTCATACCATGATCGCTGACAACCACCACATCCACCACTCCACCCAACCTTCTTTCCTCTACCAACTCTCTCCTCAACTGCCCCAAGAACGCATCTACCCTTTTCACCGCCGCAACCGCCTCCCTACTATGCGGACCAAACCTATGCGCAGCCTGATCAATGTCCGGTACATACGCACAGATCAAACTCGGTCTTTCCTCCACTCCACCTTCGATATCTATCCACTTCAACACTTGCTTCAACCTTCCCTCCAATCCCCACTCCGGTCCACTCTCGTATTTCTGGAAGTAACTCGGTGCATCACCAGCGCTAGTGACTGGAGGGCCCGGCCACATCAACACCGCGCTTTTCAACCCAGATCGTTGTGCAGTAGCCCATATTGGTTCACCTAGCCACCAGCTGCTGTTCCAAGATTGCGCTGGATTGGTGTAGTAGAATTGTCGATGGGTGGAGGAGAGGGTGAAGTCGTTCGCTACGATGCCGTGGGATGAAGCATGGAGGCCGGTGAGGAGGGCCCAGTGGTTGGGGAATGTGAGGGTTGGGAAAATCGGTTGCATGTAACTTGCTTGTAGATAGCCCTCATCCCTGCTGAATGAGGAAGAGGAGATGGGATGGGTGAGATTGGGAAAGAGCCCGGCTTTGAGGTAGGCTGGTTTTGCACCGTCTAGCGAGATCAAGATGACTGTACGACGGAAGGCGTGGGTTCCGTTTGAGAGCTGAGCTTCGGGAAGCAGAGACGATGCTAGGGCAGAGGGGTGATGTGGTGGAGGCTGAGAATACCATGGCATGCGATCGCTGAACAGGCCAAGCAGGACGGATATGAGGAGGAGAGGAAGCAGAAGGAGGCAGTAGGATGATCGTTTCCTTCTTCGAATTGGTAGCGGACTCTGTCCTGGACGAGTAAGGAGTGGTGCCGTAGCATCTGCATCTACTATGTTTGGTGCGAGTTCGTCACGCTGTGGTCGAATACTGGATGATGGCTCTGAAGGTGCTGCTCCTTGAGAAGAGCCACCTTGTCCGTCTGGGCAAGCCGTGCCACTCATGGTGTCCTTTGCCGCCCCCAGTCCCACCTGTACAGATTTGAAAACGACTGCCTTTTGGTATAGACTTGTGCTGAGACTCTATATCGATCTATCTTGGCGTTTGCATCGATGCAGCTGGTAATGCTGGATCCACGTATGGTGTTGGTTGTGAAGGCGACACTTTTGTCTTAATCGACATTGCCGAATATCACGCATGTTACGCCTAGCTTTCCGCACAACAAACCAAAAAGCGAAATGCATTCCCGATTCACATTGTCCAACCGCCGATTCAGATTACTTTTAGCAAATGCAGGGTTTCGCACTTTCACACCGATAAGAGGCCGCATCTCTCCACATTATATCCCTTCGTCCTCCTGTCGAATAAGGCGAGCCTAGTGTTAACCTGTCCTTCTCCATCCTTCCCTCCTTCCTCCTGCCTACCATCTCCATTCCTATCTCACCTTCATATACCCACTCTCAGTCAGAGCTACACCAAAATGGCTTCCACTGCGCCCAACGAGACCGGCATCTCTGGTGGCTTCTGCGTCCACTGTGTCACCGGCTTCCGCATCCCTGGCGAGCCCAAGGGCAAGATGGAAAAAATCCACGGCTACGACACTTACGTTGCTACCCCCACCAACCCTTCCTCCGATAGCGCCACCAAAGCCCTTATTTACTTTTACGATGCATTCGGTCTCAAGCTCGACAATAACAAGGTCATCCCCGACAAGATTGCAGATGCGACCGGTTTGACGGTTTACGTTCCTGATGTTAGCATTTCTCCCCCACCTTCCCCTTTTTTCTCTGAGCTGATACTGACCATCGCATCATAATCTGTGCTTATGCTATAGGTATTCAACGGAGGCGGAATCACCGAAGAAGCTATGTCAGTCGCTCCAACCACCGCTACCGAACTGAAATCCTCTTCTCTCTTCTCCAAACTCAAAGTCGGGGTCGCCTTCACCCTTGCCGCTCCGTTTTTCCTTCGCAATCTTCCGCAAACGAAAATCGGACCGCTGAAGAATTGGATCGAATCACTCAAAGCTTCCCACGGCTACACCCGTCTCGGCGGCACAGGTTTCTGCTATGGCGGTAAACTAGTCATTGCGCTCAACGCAACCGATCACATCAACGTCAGTGTTGCAAACCATCCTTCTTTCATCACGAAAGGTGATATTGCAGCGCTCAAGAACCCAGTTCTATTCAACTGTGCGGAGGAAGATCCTGTCTTTAGCGCCGACTATGCAAAGCAGGTGGAGAAGGAGTGGAACGAGAAAGGTGCAAAACAAGCGTTCAAGTTCAACCACTATCCGAACACGGTACATGGTTTTGCAGCACGACCTAATTTGGCAGACAGACAGGTCAAGGAGGCGTTCGAAAAGGCGTTTCAAGAGGGCGTCGATTGGTGGAAGGCTCATCTCTAATCCCCCACACCACTACCTTGAACAGTGTCGATGTTGGAATATGAACAGAGTTCTGCAACTTCATTAAGGATGAAACTCCTCCACCCCCTCCCGTAGGACTCGATTTTGTAACTGACATGGAACGTGGTCCTTCTCTGCTCCGCATTGAACTGATAGCGAGCAGCGAAACCTTCGGACCCGATCACACAAAGCACGTTTCTCGTCCCTCCCAGCAGCCAGTTCGATCTGACTGACGCAATCCTCTTGCTCCCAATTTTACAGGGGAGGCCTGGCCATATTTTATGGTAGGACGAGGCAAGTACGTCCCCATTCCGGACTCTAAGCAACTTGTCCGAGCATCTGAAGAGAGAGTCGACCGCTGCTGCGCTATGATTCTCCAGACTTATGGGGATGGTGACGTCCAAAGATGAAGGACCCTACATCTTTAATCTGCACAAATTTTGGACGAAGAAAGAACTTACACTCTATCTGATCGAGAAGTTTGCCGTCAAGCGACAAGAGGAGAAGCGACTGATGCACGAGGCTGAGCAGGCAAGAAAAGCGCAAGTAGAAGCCGAACACGACAAGAAGAATTGGGGAAGTTGGCTGACTCTCGGAAGAGATGGTGGAGAGGGTTGTAATTCTGGTTCGAGGATGTCACACGGTCGAAAGTAGAGTCTGCACAGTATCTCCACTATCTAGAAGGGACGACCTCACTTCCGAGGTCATTCAACGACAACGACTTGCGGTCGAAACCGCTCTAGTAACGCCTGTCGTTTGCTCCTAATTGCAATTACTTTCATCTGTCGAAATAGATTGTTGGAGCGAATAGCGTGATCGCTTGTCACTTGCGACACAGACTTGGATGGTAGGACGCGGTTTTATTACGTGTGGCGATGACGGACGGTGTGTAGAGACAGTGGATGGATATGGTACTAATGGAACAACGAACTAACTAAGTCTTGTGTGTTTTGTGCGCCTACCCTGTGGACGATACAGAAACATACTACCCAGTGGACGAGGCTGAAGCATGCAGGGGCAATGCTGAAGGAGGGGTGCGTCTGTATCGACTCGCATCAGGTGGCCGACGGAACGACCGGCGCCTTCTGTCTCCGACGGAACCTTCCGTCGGGATGGCCGAGTCCTTTCAGCCTACCCGACGATCGAGGCAATCCACACACCTCGGCCCCTCCGACCATCGTATCAGTGATACGTGAGGGCAGTAGAAGGAGGTAAAGAGACTGGACTCTGCCATTGAGGAGCTCTCCTGCACTGCCTCATCACAATTCAGACTCCTCTTCCGCATCAACGTGTCACTGAGCCAAGATGTATAAAGACACTCGAGTTAGTTAGTTCATCCCCTTTTCATCCATCCATCAAGTTGTATATACTCTTCAACGTCGATACACTCAATACGATCGTGCCCTACCTTAAAGTCTACCATCTTTTCAACAAATGCAAGGGGTCATGCAGGGGTAGGGCCCAGGCCCCAGCTCCTCCTCCTTGGGCATCGGATAGTCGATATGCCGATGTCCATCGCGATAATCGGCCTAATGCGAGCCGATACGCCGCATAGGCCTTCTACATGTTGAAGTTTGAAGACGTTTGGTCCTGATAACTGGCGATCGGGGAGAGTCCGAGTACGATGTCACTACTACTTTTAGGGCAGAAACATATATACTTGATTGACTAATGAATGTGGTGAGAACCTAGTGTTCTCAGCTTGATATACAGTGTGCACATAAACTGTCCCATAATTTTACATGTCACCATACATCACTCTAATGCTCAATAGCTATAAGTTGTATTGCCACACTGTCTGATATTGTCTGAAAGCCCTGCTTCTTCTCTCCAAGACTGTGTAAATGATATTGACATTGACTAAAAAAAATTGTGCTATGAAGAAGAGCCGATTTTTTTTTTAAATTGTGGGACAGTTTATGGAGCATGCTCCCAAATAGCGACACCACTCCATTCCTGACCTTTGTAAGCGGTCGTGCACCAGAGACTAGTTTTGGGTGTTATTCGATCAGTATAGATGGGGTTGATTGAGTAAGGTCTACTTGGTATGTTTCAACTAAATGTAACCAGGCATCTTCGACTGGTAAGTCTTGGCTGACCACCTTGAACACTCCATTCAGAGGTTGCACAGCATGTTCACTGTTCATTGGAGAGTGAGTGATACCCTCTCCTTACAGTACGAGTGTTCACAGTACTGTTGATAATGCTCTTGGACATCATATGGACCACAATATACTTATTGCCTACAGAGGATGGGAGTTATTGGACTGCAGGTGTGAGCCACTGCCTACAATAACTGACTGGACCACAAGTGTTGAGCAACACTGCCTACAGTAAGAGACTGGACTGCAAGTGTTGGAGAACACTGCCTACAGTTGAGAACTGGACCACAAGTGTTTGGAGAACACCACCTACAGTTGATGCCTAACAGTGATACAACACACATGTTTGAGGGTCATTGCAAAAGCACTGCTATTGCAATGATACACAACTAAGAGTCAAGTAGAGAGTAAAGTATAAAGTAAGTAAGTAGAGTGGATGAGGATCCACTCATATGCTATGGTGGAATGAGAGTATTTATGTGTTCGATTGGTGTCACCTGCAACACCTATCCTGTTCCTCTTGAGGGGCCTTCATCCCCTGTTTGACACTGTCTCTCCTGCTGGTGTCAATCCCTTTGATGCTGCACCCCTACTGTCTGCACAGCATAATGGTTATGCAACACTGCCCTTTCACCTTCATGCTCCCTTTCCACTTGATGATGTGTGACAACCCCTTCGACACAGCTCCTCCTCTTTGTTTACCAAATCCATTCACCACTTCCTTCTCTCTTCACTGGCAACCACCTTCCTGACCTTATCTTGTGAATCCCCTTAGCCACTTGTTGGACCTCATGACCAGACCCCTTGGTCATGCAGTCACCCCCTGTGCTTGGTCCTGTGTGGCTATATGCATGCACCCCTTGAGTGGTAACTGTCTGCATGATGCTGAGCTTGGTCCCCTGCTCCTACATGTGTTTATCTCCATATGCTTCTCCTTCTAATGCCAGTACCTTCCTTCCTGAATCTCCTGATACTTGCTTGTATTGGCTGACTTGCTGAGGCATGCTGATCCAGCTGATTCTGATCAATCCTCATGAGATTAACCTGGAACCCAGAGTTCAGTTGATCTCATAAATCATATGTGCTACCAGCCTGATTGGCTTTGTTGATTCCTGATGATTTGGTGCTGATCAATTTGGCACTCCCTTCATATGTTGATCTGCTGACTCTGTGACATTACCATGAATGCTGTCAGTCAATTTGGCGCACCCTTCATATGCTGGCCTGCTGGCCCTGTGACAACCTTGTGGGCTTTTGACTACAATGAAACTTGCAATGTAACTTGGTGGGCACCTGTCAGGGGTCTCGCGCCTGAAACCCAGGTCGGTCTGTCGAGATACTCGGTGACTATCAAACTGTGCGACAGCTATTGTCTCAGTATCGGTGACTATCAAGTTGTGCAGTGACAGCAGGTGGCGCTCGTTGTATATACTATCGTAGGTTTCGGCTGACCTCTGTGGACACTCCGTTCAGGGGTAGCTTGGCATGATCAATATCAATGTTATGATGACACCAAGGTCTGGTGTGAGTGTTGATGATGATGAGGTTGATGGTGTTGGTGATGAGATTGGTGATGTTGATGATAATGAGGTTGATGGTGTTGGTGATAAGGTTGGTGGCGTCAACACGAGTGTCCAGTGTGTTGACTTGATGCTTGAAGTGATCCCCGGACCGCAGTGGACTACTGCCTTTGGTTCTATCTTGATCCGGACTGCTAACCTGCTATGGGTGCCTTCAGACATCAGGTAGTGGTGATACAACACACACACTATGATGAGGAGCAACCTTGATAGATTGCTGCTATGCTGACTGAAACTAATGTATACTTATGCTGAAGTGATAACTAGTTATATGGTGAGTAGAGTGGATGAGGATCCACTCGACCTATGATGATGAGAAAGCATGGTTATATACCTCTACTCAGCATCGCCAGCGATGCTGCTCCTGCTCTCTCTCTCCAGAGAGTACCTTCTTCATCGAGTACTGCTCAGGGGCCTCTCCTGCTTGGCACCCCTGTGCCTCTTGAGCTGTGTCGACTCCTTTGACACTGCTCCTCCTCCTCATGACCTGGTGTCGACTCCTTCGACACTGCTCCTCCTCCTTTGATCAGTGACAGTTCCTTTGGCTCTTGTCTCTCGAGCCCCTGAGTGGTAACCATCTGCATGCTCCTTGAGCTTGGTCCTCTTCGTGGCTGTGCCTGCTCCTTGAGCTTGGTCCTCCTCGTGGCTGTGCTTGGCCCTCCTTTGCATGTGAGTCCATAGGAGTCCATGGTCTCCATGGAGACTGCACTACAACCATGCTCTCTACTGATCTTGACTAGATCTTCGATACCTGTGCTCCTTCCATATGAACCCGTGACCCTCCTGCTTCTTGAGCATCCAGGCCCATGACAGCACCTTCATACACATTGAAAGTAGTGATGTGGAAAGTTTCAGCTCAATCAGATGACTGTGACCAATCTGGCAGCATTTCCAGTCTGACACCATCATATCTATACCATCATGCCAAAAACCACCCCAGAGAGGTGCTGATTGGCATTCTTTCACATCCAAATTGGGGAATCTATCCATTCAGTTGCAGAACAACTTGGTATGAGCAAGTCTACTGTGAATCACATCAGCAAAAGCACCTCTGCTGATGTTCCAAAGTCAAAGGGGGGCCAGCCAAGAAAACTCCAGCCTTGTCATGTTCACTTCCTGGATCACTATTTCAAGCTCAATTCAACCTCCACAGTCAGGAAAGCATGTCATGCACTGCAGGAGACATTTCAAATCAAAGCATGCCCAACCACAGTAAGAAAAGCACTTCATTACTGTCATTACAAAGCATGAAGGTTAGTGAAAAAACTGAAACTACTCAAGAGACATTACAAAGCTTGTCAAAATGTGACTTTCATGGTATAGTACAATTGCAAAGTCCAGGGATGAACTGCTCAAGAGATGTGAAGCTGAATGGAAAGTGATCACTCCAGAGACATGTAGGACACTAATAGAGAGCATGCCAGACTGCATCAAGGTGGTTCTGAAGGCCAAAAGAGGGAATACAAAGTACTAAGGTGTTCTCAAGGAGCACTCCATAAACTGTCCCACAATAAAAAAAAAATTCAGCTCTTCTTCATAGCACAATTTTTTTTAGTCAATGTCAATATCAATTACACAGTCTTGGAGAGAAGAAGCAGGGCTTTCAGATGATATCAGACAGTGTGGCAATACAACTTATAGCTATTGAGCATTAGAGTGATGTATGGTGACATGTAAAATTATGGGACAGTTTATGTGTGTGCTGTATATACATTTGTGAGGCTCATACCTAACATGGGAGTATGCTATCTCATGACCTAGCTTGACAATGAGTGGGACTGTGTTGTGTCCAATCTCTAGTCAGATTGGCTCCACTTGATCCATGATCAGATCTGCTTTCCCGATTATGTTCTAGATCGATCTTGCCCAATCCTTCGTCACTTTGACTTCCTACTGGATCGTTATCTTTAGCACTACATATATCCCTTCAGTGCTCTCATCAACCTCATCCTTGCAGTTACTCACGTTCGTCCCCATATGCTATATGAAGGCTATGCAGCAAGACTGATTGCGTCTTGCTGCGTGCTTACTGACGGTGCTGAAGAGCCAAGCAGGATGAACATGACCTTGTGCAAGGATGAGAGCGATTATTGCCATTGAGCACCAGGATACGAAAGGATGAAAAAGGGTTGTTGCGGAGGATGGATGTAACAGTAAAAGCAACGAACTGAAAGAGCAATATCGACTTGCACCGGAAGACCGACGAGGTGACCGGCCTTTCGATGGAATGGCCGACGAAGGTTCGCACGGTGATAAGCTTTCGTCGGGTTATCCGTCGGGTAGTCTCCGCGAAGTGATCGGTGCATCCGACGGGACGACCAACAAGTCTTCTCACGCTGATAAGCTTTCATCTGCCTCTGCGTTGGGCAGCCTCCGTCAGGGTGATCGGCGCATCCGACGAGGCGGTCGACAAGTCTCTCTGCAAAGGTAAGCTTTCGTCGTCACCTTTCGTCAAGGTGGCAAACTCCCTCAAGAGAAAACGGTCTCCTCTTTCAAGGGGCTCTCATGCTGCCTCTCATGCTTCGACCTTTTCCTCCTATCTTTGTGTTGGCGTCAAGATGTATATATATAGCCCTCGAGTCAGTTAGTTTGTCCCGATCATATTGTCCATCTATTTGTACTTACTCACCAACGTCGAGAGCGCAATACAACCGTGTCCTGCCACAAAGAGTCCACTATCACTTCAACACGAACTTCACCCCTTTGTGCGGTCTGGTGGAAGATGGTCCTCTTTTTGATGAGCGCCAAGTTCAGCCTCCCACGGCCACAGAAGGCTCAACGGACCTAATCGATGCTCGAACATGTGCCTGTGCAGATGAAGTCTTATCCCAGGACATCTGTTGAGATGAAACCCACCCATCAACATGCTCCCACGCTTTGCAATCTGCAAACAACGACCGTTGTCTTCATTGATAACAAGCATGCAAAGGGAATGCAACCCAACTTCCCTTTGAGGGACAGATCAGAAGGCATCGGAGCTTGTTTCTCGAGCACCGAAACGATATATGAGACTCAATAACTTAGTTCGCTTTTCTGAGAGACACCGTTCATCTGTAGGAAGGCTGTGCCTGTATCGACTCGTATCAGGCCGGTCGTCGGGGATGACCGATATTCGTATCAGGCCGGACGCTTCGGTCCATTTGATGATCGTATCAGGCCGAAAACCTCAGGGTGTCCGATGACCGTAACAGGAGAAGATAAGGGTTGGGAGGAGATAGTGGCCTGAGCTCTAACGCTGTATGGCCCTTTGCACTGCCTTGTCGAGTTTCAGACTCCCTTTCGCTCCAACATGTTACTGTATCATCCACAGGGCAAGACGTATAAAAGCACCAGGCTCAATTAGTTCGTTCTCCATTAGTATCGATCCGTCCGTCTGTACATACCGTTCATCGTCGTCAATAAAACCGCGTCCTACCATCCAAGTCTGTCACTCGGTTCACCATCATCAACCTTAACCTCTAGGGGGTATCAAATGCGAAAAGTTTGATACCCCCTTCTCTTCGCTCTCAATTGAATATGAAGTGCTTCACACTACTGCTCCAGGTGCTCGCGCTCACCGTCGCTTGGCTTTCATCATGTCTCATTGTCGGCTCCGAGATGCCAGTCGCCGTACAAGAAGGCGACCAAGGAATCCAACACCTCTGGGAAAAGGCACGTGACGGGGCCTTCGTCACCACTCTTCCAGATCGATTACGCATTCCCTTGAAAAGAACCCAAATTGCCTGGACCAACTTTTTGGGAAGGTCTGGAAAGAAACTTATTGAAAACATCTATACGTGCGTCAAGAATTCAACATAGGCTTGTCCATAAACCGCAGTTTGTGCTGTAGCTGACATATTAAAACGTCTAATTCATTGCTACGTTTCGGATATGGAACAATCAGTCAAACATTCGGCGATCACTATCCGAAGTGAGTTCCTTGCCCCTTGCCACGCCTTGATCGTTGTATTTCGCTGACACTTCTTTCTTTAAATATGCAGAGCGGTAATCGATAAAGATTACGGTAGAAAGAAGTACGTTTTCGCCTCCCTTAACTCAACTTCTGTGCAATATGGAATTTTTGCTCAAGTAATACCCCTTGCTCTTTCTTTGGTGGTGCATCAGGTATCTCCAATTGGTTGGGTTCACACAAAGAGGACCGTACAAGTTCGAACGCGACAAATTTGAAGTGGAACAACAACTTGAAATGAAACGAAGAGTTGCGCTCTTGCTCGTTGAACAATTTGCCGAAAGAATGCATCAGCAAAAGCTCCAAATTCAAGCTGAGCAGGCACGAAAGGCACAAGAAGAAATCGAGAAAGATAGGGACAACTGGGGAAAATGGTTGACTCTCGGAAGGGACGGCGGGGAAGGCTCGAGTTCTGGTTCCCGTCGAAAGTAGGGACTCGGTAATGACTTCGGCGAAAATTAGGTCATACGTTAGGGCAGTCAGAGATGAAGGTCGGGCTCGGTTCCGCTCAGGCCGAGAGCGTTACCCGGCGTTTTTTTTTTTTTCTGGTGATTTTCCTCTTGTCGTCACGCGTTGTTGCCCCTAGCGGTGCTGGTGAAATGGGAGAAGTTGAAGGGGATAGTCACCCACCAACCAACTTTGCCGTGATGAACAAAAAGGTCTCCAACCCTAGTTCATATAACCAAAACCCACCCTCCATATGAAAACTTTTTGTGATAACACTGCGATCGAAAAAGTGTGTTTACGAACGGGTTGTTGGAAGGCTAGTGGACTGTGGCAGGACACGGTTTGTATTGAGCACTCGATGTTGATGAGTAAGTACAAGAGGGATAGGATGATACAAATGAACTGGTCAACTTTGGACACCTTATATACATGCCTTTGACACTGACAAGAGGTAGGAAAGAGGTCTGAAGGAGAAGGGCATTAGACCCCTCAAGAGGAGTCTTGACAGAGGCTTATCATTAGATGGAGAGTCATCCTCTGCCTTGTCAGGTGCACCAATCTGATCATTGGAGACCACCCAACAGTTTTTCTGACAACTCTTATCACCATGGGAAAAGCCATTGGCCATCCTGTTGGATGCACCAATCACTTCATTGGACTCCTGGTGGTGTGAGTCAATACCCTCCTCCTTCACTCCTCCTAGCAATGAACCACCAAATGGTCTTTGACCCCAAGGACCTCTCGAGATCTTGAGCATCCCCTTGTGTTGAGCAACTTTGTTAGTCCATCAGCAACCTGTAGTTCTCCAGTAATCCACCTGATGACTGTAATGCCCTTCTTAACTGTGTCTTTTGCAAATGCGCTTCTGAGCATGAGGGATTTGTTTCACCTGGGCCCATCTGCAGATATGATTTGCTCTGCAGCTTGGTTATCAGTCAGGAGTACCACAGGAGTATCAGAGGGCATGATGCTGAGACCAATGAGCACATCCAAGACCCAGATGACATTGTGGCATGTGTCACTAAGGGTGACTACCTCAGCCTCTGCTGTTGATGTTGATATAACTCTCTGCCTCCTGCTCCTCCAGGCAACCACTCCTCCAAACAGAGTAAGGACAAACCCAGATGTCAAGTACAGGTTTTCCTTCCAGCTGCCAGCGTGATCAGCATTAGAATATGTGACAGGAGTGCTTGACTTGTTTCACAAGTACACTAACTTATGTGATCGAGTGTGTAAGACATAGCGCAAAAGGTGCCACATGTCAGGGGTCTCGCGCCTGAAACCCAGGTCGGTCTGTCGAGGTACTTGGTGACTATCAAACTGTGCAACAGCTATTGTCTTGGTATCAGTCTTGATGGGCTATGTTGCTTGGCAACTATCAAGTTGTGCAAAGACAGTGGGTGGTGTTCGTTGTATATACTATCATAGGTTTCGGCTGACCTCTGTGGGACACTCTGTTCAGGGGTAGCTCGGCATGATCAATATCAATATGTAGGTTATGATGACACCAAGGTCTGGTGTGAGTGTTGATGATGATGAGGTTGATGGTGTTGGTAATAAGGTTGGTGGCATTAACATGAGTGTCCAGTGTGTTGACTGATGCTTGAAGTGATCCCCAGACCACAGTGGACTACTGCCTTCAGTTCTATCTATATCCAGACCACTGACCTGCTATGGGCTGCCTTTGGACATCAGGTAGTGGTGATGCAACACATGCACTACAATGAGGAGCAATCTTGCTGGATTGCTACTATGCTGACTGGAACTAATATATACTTATGCTGAAGTGATAACTAGTTATGGTGTGTGTAGAGTGGATGAGGATCCACTCGACCTTTGATGATGAGAAAGTATGGTTATATACCTCTTCACAGCATTGCCAGTGATGCTGCTCCTGCTCTCTCTCCAGAGAGTACCTTCTTCATCAAGTACTGTACAGGGGGCCCCTCTAGCACCACTCCTGTCCTCCTTGAGCTATCCTGCTTGCTTGGCACCCCTGTGCCTCTTGAGCTGTGTCGACTCCTTTGACACTGCTCCTCCTCCTTGCTATCCTGCTTGTTTGACACCCCTGTGCCTCCTGAGCTGTGTCAACTCCTTCGACACTGCTCCTCCTCCTCAGGACCTGCTTGCCAGTCTCCTATACACTGCTCCTTCTCCTTTGACTGGTGACAGTTCCTTTGACTCTTGTCTCTCGAGCCCCTGAGTGGTAACCATCTGCATGCTCCTTGAGCTTGGTCCTCTTCGTGGCTGTGCCTGGCCCTCCTCACATATGGGCCTGGTCCTCCTTTGCATGTGAGTCCATAGAAGTCCATGATCTCCATGGAGACTGAACTACAACCATGCTCTCCACTGGTATCGACTAGATCTCTGATACCTGTGCTCCTTTCATATGAACCAGTGACCCTCCTACTTCCTGAGCATTCAGGCCCATGACACCACACCTGATTGAGGTGAACTGTGGTTGGAGAGGCAAGGTGACTTGCAAGTTTGCTAATGGGAAAAGCAAGGTCAGGTCTTGTTGAGGTCATGAGATACATGACTGATCCCATGATCTGTTGATAGGTCACTACCTGCTCTTTGGTGAGGGGCTGGTGACTTGGGTCTGTGAGTAGTAGGTTGGTGGCCAATGGGTCAAGTGGCGTGTTGGTCTCCACTGCTTGGTTCATGCCAAAACGAGTGAGTACAGCACCAATGTATGCATCTTGTGCAAGTGAAACTGATTCACCATTTTGCTGGATGCGAATTCCAAGGCACCATTCTGCATCCCCACCTCCGGTTATTTTGAAGTGTGCCTGGATTGAGTCAATGATGATGTCAACCTCATGTTCCTGTCCAATGATGATGATGTCATCAACATAAATGGCAATGACAACCAACTCCATTTTGTACACTGCCACATCACAGCTGAGTTGTGAGAAGCCTAAAGAGCACAGACTTTCATCCAACTTTGCAAACCATTCACGACCAGACTGCTTGAGTCCATAAAGTGCCTTCTTGAGGTGACAGGCTGATTGCGGTGACCGTTGTCAGCGGTTGCGCACCTGAAACCTGAGATCGGTAGTAGTGTCGATACTATTACCGATTCTGTCGAGTTATGCGATAATACTAGTGGTTTTACGATTCTCAGCGAAATATGTAATAGAGTCATCTCTATCACTTTCTTGCTTGGAACTGTAGGACAGGCTTTGCTATTGCAGGTCTCGACTAACCGCTGTGGACACTCTGTCCAGAGGTAGCTTGGCATGATCAATAATGATGTGAACTTGTGATGACACCAAGGTCTGGTGTGAGTATATTGTTGATGATGAGGTTGGTGGCATCGACATGAGTGTCCAGTGTGTTGACTATCACTTGAGGTGATCCCCGGACCGCAGTGGACGACTGCCTTTGGTTCTATCTTAATCTGGACTGCTGGTTTGCTATGAACCACCTTTGGACATCAGTGAGCAGTGATACAACACATGTGCTACAATGAGGAGCAATCTATCGATTACTACTATGCTGACTGAACTAATGAGTACTTATGCTTCTGAAGTAATACTAGTTATGGTGTGTTGAGTTGTGTCGACTCCTTCGACACTGCTCCTCCTCCTCATGACTTGCTCACCGGTGTCCTTTACACAGCTCCTCTTCCTTCGACCAGCGACGGTTCTCCTGGCCCTTATCTTGTGAGCCCCCTGAGTGGTAACCAGCTGCATGTTCCTGAGCTTGGTCCCCATCTTGGCAGAGCTTGGTCCTCCTCACATGTGAACTTGGTTCTCCTCGCATGTGAAATTGTCATATGAACATCCTTGTCACTGATCTCTGCAGAATCTGCCATACAATCATACTTACTACAGATTCTGGCAGAATTTGTGATATCGACTTTGTTCATGCAGATCTTGATGAGATCTGTCATAGAACCATGTCTACTACCAATCTCACTGAATTCTTCTGTAATTCCCACAATCTACCCAATTCCTCGATGCCTGCGCTCCCTTCATATGAACTTATGGGTCTTTCTGCTTCCTGCGCATCCAGGCCCATGACAACCGTCTGTACCTTTCCTCGAAACCTGGTGGGAGCGTCATGTATATGTCAATGTCTGGGAGCTCACTGTTAAGGTACATGGTGACAAAATCTATTTGCCAGATCTGAAGCTTGTTCTTGAGGCTGTAACAAATGACAAGATGGAGGCAGGTCATGCTCACCACTGCTGAGTACATGTCATGGTAATCAATACCATGCATTTGGTTAAACCTGTGGGCTACCAGATGAGCCTTATACTTTACTGGGTTTCCATCAGCATCATGCTTGGTCTTGAAAACCCACTTGGCCATGATTGCCTTCCAATTTTCTGGTAGATTGGTGACAATCCATGTTCTGGCATCATCAAGTGAGTCAAGCTTGTCCTTGATTGCCTTCTCCCAGCTTGACCACTCTGTGCATTTCTGTGCTTGCATGAGTGTTTGTGGGTCATTATGCATAGTGAGTGAGTCCTGGCCAACTGTGGTGACAAACTCAATGGTGGCATTTTGCATGTTGAGATCAGACCTGATGTTATCACATGCAGCTGTTACTTGCTCCTTGGGACTCATGCAGGGCTTGTTGGTGAGCGATGACTCAAGTTCTCTAACATTGCTACTGCCCTCCTGAAGGTAATGTGCAACCATTGCTAATTTGATCTTCAGGTCAGTGGGGTCCCTGGCTGGGCTGAGATGTCAGTCTTGCTGGGTAGTAATGACAACTGGTGATGCATCTTCCTCTGAGTCTTGTTCATCGGATGCTGAGGGTGAAGAAAGGTCTGAGCTATCATCATCTGAGGATTTGCTCAGTTCCCTGGTGGGTATCATTCTTGCTGTTCAGTTCCTCAGCACATTTTTGAGTGATAGCTCATCCTCTAGCTCCCAGGTCAGACTTGTGTTCACAGTACCTTGGCTAATGTAATCAAGGTTGGTGTTAATGATTGCATCAGAGAGGGTCTCAGCATCGAACTTGACATCCCTCAAGGTATAAACCTTTGAGTAGTCTTCAGTGTCAATGCATCTGTGAGCTGCCTCAGATAGGTCAGGCACTCCTACCCAAAAGCACTTTTGTCCATGTTGACTGAGCTTTGATTTGCTCTTTCCATGCTTGATGTTCCTGACCCATACTAATGTGCTGAAGGTTTTGATGTCACTCATCCTAACCCTTTGTCCAGACCACAGGGTATAGGGTACTCCTCTGATGACCTTGGAATAGGTGTGGTTTCAGATCCAGTTTGCATGTTGAGTAGCTTCGGCCCAGAGTGGTGCTGGTAGCTTGGCAGTGTTGAGCATTGGTCAAACAATGTTCATGATGGTGTGGTTGACATGCTCAGCAATCCCATTTTGTTGTGGCATATAGGGTGTGGTCAGCTGCTGTGCAGACAAAGCATGGTCTTGAAGGCATTCAATGTGTACTTGCTGCTGTTGTCACTCTGGAAAACCTTTGGGTACTAACCCATTTCCTGCTTTGTTTCCTCCAGCCACTTCTCAACTGCTGTCTTCATAGCATCTTTTGACACAAGCATCCTTACCCAGCTGAAATGCATGTGTACATCCATGATAGTGAGTATGTACCTCACTCCTCCAAGACTCAGAACCAGCATAGGACCCTGTAGGTCACTGACAACCACATCAAGTCTCACCTTTGTTTTGTTTCTTCCTGATCTGAATGATGGGTGAACAAATTTCATTGCATTGCATGCTTCACAGTTGAAAACCTTAGGCATGTCACAGGTATCAATGCCCACAGCCTTCAATGACTTCTGGATGTGGTCTAGGCTTGCATGTCTGAGGTGGCAGTGCCACATGCACCAGAAAGCGGTGGCATCCTCTTGTGACTTCGCCTGCAGCACTCAGTTGTGATTGCTTGGCTTTGCATGGTTGCTTGGGGTAGCCTTTGCCACCATGTCTAGGTAAAGCCTGTCACCACTCTTCATGGCCTGGGTGACTTGTTTGCATTGTTTGTCCTTCCTGACCATAATGCAGTCTCTTCCTTGCCAATCACATCTGATGTCTCCTTCACTCGCTTTAGCTGCAGCCCTTGGAGAGAACAAGTTGAATTTTCCATTGCAAAGAAGGACAACATTTGATAGTGTGACATGCTTGACACCAGTACTGGTGTTAACATTTAGGGTGACCTTTCTGATGGTGTTGTACTTGATCAAAGGACCCTGTGCTTGCTGGATGCATCCATTGGTGTGTCATATGTCTGTCATGAGTGACTCATCCTTGCAGATGTGAACATCAGCACCAGTATCCCAGATCCAGCCCTCAATGACTTTCTTGTTGGCTGTACCTGTGGTGAGAACAGTCAAGACATGTGCATTTTGGTCACTTTGATTATTTCTGTTCTCCCTGGCTGACTTGGCACTGTCACTCTTTTGCTTTCCCTTGCCTCTCTTTCCTCGCTTGCCCTGTTTCTCCTCCTTTTCAGGGTCAGGGCATTCTGTCGATATATGACCATGGTGACTGCATTTCCAGCAGATGACTTGGTTGGCCACTGCAGCATTAGGTTTGCCCTGGGAAAGAGTGGAGGAGCATTGTTGAAGGCTCCCTAGGTTTGTGAAGCGAGCTATGAGTGTCATACTGTCAGTCTCATCTTCCTTGAGATGCACAGACTCCTCATAATTGTGTAGGCCCATGGTGGTAGCTTCAAACAATTGCACAAGTTGAAGCTCATAGTCTGCATTGGATGATCTGGCAGACTTGGTGGTCTTGCTGAGGGCAAGCAACTCCCACCATGCTTCATAAGCCATGGTGTATGGGCGGAGATGTGGTTGAATGCTGTGGAGTAAGCAGCCAAGCTTCATTCTGGTGTCAATTGGATGACCCATCAGAGCTCTCTCATTGGCAATATGCTCGATGTTGGAGAAAAACTCATTGACACTTCCCACCTGGACAAGGTGGATAAGTTTGGTGAGGAGGACATATGGTTGGATGATGGTCCCCTTGGAGTAGCATTGTTCAAGATATTTCCATATGTGGTTTGCAGTTTGCTCCTCCTCAATTATGATGGCGATCTCTGGAGCAATGGCTTGCAGAAGAACATTGACTGCACACCTTGTGGTTGTCTGGAGGGAGATGCAGAGGCATTCATCTGTCTTGTTGGCCATGTGGGTTGATATACCTGTAATCGCCTCCCACATCATTGGGTTAACCCCATCAATGTAGATTTGCAGCTGTCTTCACCAGGTGTAGTAATCGCTGCTGCCTCGCAGCATGGGTGGCATTGACAAAGACATTGCTGCATCCATTTTGATCAACCAGGCACTGTCTCAAACCTTTTCAATGGCAGGCTTATATGCTTCAGCCTTTGATGGTGAGCTGTTTGGTGATCTTGCTAATGCTATGACTGAGATTGTGTCTCAGGAGCCAATCCAATTTGTTTTGTACTTAGTGTTGTTGAGAGGCCTAGTAACCGCTAGGTCTCATAATCTGTTGGAAGGCTAGTGGACTGTGGCAGGACACAGTTTGTATTGAGCACTTGATGTTGATGAGTAAGTACAAGAGGGATAGGATGATACAAATGAACTGGTTGACTTCAGACACCTTATATACACATCTTCAACACTGACAAGAGGTAGGAAAGAGGTCTGAAGGAGAAGGGCATTAGACCCCTCAAGAGGAGTCTTGACAGAGGCTTATCATTAGACAGAGAGTCGTCCTCTGCCTCATTGGGTGCACTGATCTGATTGTCAGAGACCACCCAACAGTTTTTCTGACAACTCTTATCACTGTGGGAAAAGCTGTCGGCCATCCCGTCGGATGTGCCGATCACTTCATCAGACTCCCGGTGTGAGTCGATACCCTCCTCCTTCACAGTGTAAGCGGTCGCGCGCCAGAGACTTAGTTTTGGGGGTGCTATTGAGTTTGATTGAGTAAGGTCTACTCGATATGTTTCGCCTAAATGTAACCAAGCATCACCACCTGGTAAGTCTCAACTGACCACCTTGAACACTCTGTTCAGAGGTTGCACAGCATGAACATTGTTTGTTGGTGAGTGGGTGATACACCCTCTCCTACAGTACAAGTGTTCGTAGTACTGTTGATAATGCTCTTGGACATCATCTGGACCATGATATGCTAATCACCTACAGAGGACAGGAGTTACTGGACCACAGGTGTGAATCACTGCTTACAATAACTGACTGGACTGCTGGTGTCAAGCAACACCACCTACAGCAAGGGACTGGACTGCAGGTGTTGAAGAACACCACCTACAGTAAGGAACTGGACCACTAGTGTGAAGAACACCACCTACAGTTGTTGACTAATGGTGATACAACACACATGTTGAGAGTCATTGCAAGAGCACTGCTATTGTGATGGTACTTAACTGAGTAAGTAAGAAGTAATAAGTAAAGTATAAATAAAGAGTGGATGGGGATCCACTCATATGCTATGGTAGAATGAGAGTATTTATGCATTTGGTTGGCATAGCCCATGACACCTATCCTGCTCCTCTTGAGGGGCCTTTGTCCCCTGTTTGGCACTGTCTTGTCCTGCTGGCATCAATCCCACTGATACTGCACTCCTACTGTTTTCACAGCATAAGGGTTATGCAACACTGCCCTCTCACCTTCATGCTCTCCTTCTGCCTGATGATGTGTGATGCCCCCTTTCAACACAGCTCCTTCTCGACTTTATCCTGTGAATCCTTTTAGCCACTGGTTGAACCTTGTGACCAAACCCCTTGGTCATGTGGTCATGTCAGCACAGCTCTGTCTCAACTTTGTCTTGTGAATCCCTTTAGTCACTTGTTGAACCTTGTGACCCAACCCCTTGGTCATGTGGTCATGTTGGCACAGCTCTGAGTACTTGCTTGTATCAGCCAACTAGTTGAGGCATGCTGATCTGACTGATCCCAACCAATCCTGTGAGATTGATCTGGATTTCTGGAGTTCAATTGATCTCATAATTCATATGCACTGCCAACCCAATTAATCTTGTTGATCCCCAATGGTTATTGGCTCTGATCAATCTGGCACACCCTTCATATGTTGATCTTCTGTGCAACATTACCATGACTGCCGCTGGTCAGTTGGCACACTCTCTTGTGCTGGCCAGCCGACCCTGTGACACACAGGTTGTCTGCTCTGAAGGAGGGCTGTGTGTCATGCCTGAGCACTCTCTCGTGCGAATACTAGCCGCACGCGATTGCTCAATCGATACTTCTCGGCCGAATACACGTCACACAAGAAGTTCAATATCATCTTGCAAAATCAAAGATCGGAGAGAGTCTGCATATGATGTCACTGCTGTTTTTAGGACAGAAACATGTATACTCAATTGACTAAGAAAAAAATGTGGTGGGAGTCTTGAGCTCCCCATTTGATATACAGCTCACACATAAACTGTCCCACGGATTTACATGTCACCATACATCACTCTAATGCTCAATAGCTATAAGTTGTATTGCCACACTGTCTGATATTGTCTGAAAGCCCTGCTTTTTCTCTCCAAGACTGTGTAAATGATATTGACATTGACTAAAAAAATTGTGCTATGAAGAAGAGCTGAATTTTTTTTTTATTGTGGGACAGTTTATGGAGTGCTCCTTGAGAACACCTTAGTACTTTGTATTCCCTCTTTTGGCCTTCAGAACCACTTTGATGCAGTCTGGCATGCTCTCTATTAGTGTCCTACATGTCTCTGGAGTGATCACTTTCCATTCAGCTTCACATCTCTTGAGCAGTTCATCCCTGGACTTTGCAATTGTACTATACCATGAAAGTCACATTTTGAGATGGTGCCAGAGGTGTTCAATCAGGTTTAAGTCCAGTGACTGCACCAGCCATTGCATAACCTTAATGCTATTACTTTCCAACCACATTATTGTCTTCTTCAATGTGTGTTTTGGGTCATTGTCTTGCTGAAACATGACGTCAGTGTATGCATGCTGAAGCTGCAAATCTGAGATTGTTTTCAAAAGCTTGTCATTCAAGATATAAATGTATTGGTCTGATTTCATTGAACCCAGCACCAAGTGCATACCTCCCACCCCTTCCCACATCATACAGCCCCAGATCATGATGGAGCCACTGCTGAACTTGACCATCAGCCTGACAAGCTTGCTGTTGAAGCCAGCATTCTTAATCCAACAGAACTGCTTACCATCCAGTCCAAAGAAGTTGATCTTTGTCTCATTGGACCATACCACATTCTTCCAATCCTCAACAGTCATGTCCTTGTGCTCATTAGCAAATTTGCAATGGGCTTTGTAATGTCTCTTGAGTAGCTTCAGTTTTTTCACTAACCTTTGTGCTTTGTAATGACAGTAATGAAGTGCTTTTCTTACTGTGGTTGGGCATGCTTTGATTTGAAATGTCTCCTGCAGTGCATGACATGCTTTCCTGACTGTGGAGGTGGAATTGAGCTTGAAATAGTGATCCAGGAAGTGAACATGATGAGGCTGGAGTTTTCTTGGCCAGCCCCCCTTTGACTTTGGAACATCAGCAGAGGCACTTTTGCTGATGTGATTCACAGTAGACTTGCTCATACCAAGTTGTTCTGCAACTGAATGGATAGATTCCCCAATTTGGATGTGAAAGAATGCCAATCAGCACCTCTCTGGGGTGGTTTTTGGCATGATGGTATAGATATGATGGTGTCAGACTGGAAGTGCTGCCAGATTGCTCACAGTCATCTGATTGAGCTGAAACTTTCCACATCACTACTTTCAATGTGTATGAAGGTGCCCACCAAGTTACATTGCAAGTTTCATTGTAGTCAAAAGCCCACAAGGTCAGGAATGGAGTGGTGTCACTATTTGGGAGCATGCTCCTTAAACTGTCCCACAATAAATAAAATTTGGCTCTTCTCCATAGCACAATTTTCTTAGTCAATGTCAATATCATTTACACAGTCTTGGAGAGAAGAAGCAGGGCTTTCAGACAATATCAGACAGTGTGGCAATACAACTTATAGCTATTGAGCATTAGAGTGATGTATGGTGACATGTAAATTCGTGGGACAGTTTACACATGAGCTGTATATACAAAGTGAGTGGCACTTGCCAAAAATGGGTACATCCTACTTAATGACGAGGTCTGACAATGAGCGGGGCTAGGTTGTACCCGATCCTCGATCTCCGATCAGATCGTCCTTCGCCTTTTGTATCTGCTTACATCAACCAACATCTTCATATTGGATCGTCATTTTCAATAAACATGACTACTGAATCATCCACAGGGTAAGACGTATAAAGGCACCAGATTCAGTTAATTGGTCCTCAGTTAGCATCCATTTATCTGTACACACAGTTCATCGTCGACATACGTAATAAACCGGGTTCTACCATTCAAGTCTGCCACTCGTTCCAAAAGCTACGTCATAAGGTTATCTTGAATGGCATGGCAAGCTGAATCGCAGACGTGAAGCGGGAACCAGCACCGCCTGACGTGGTAAGGTAACAGACTCTCGTTCAGCCTTGATGATAGAGTCATAAGTTTGTTCGATGTCGTGTGGACTAGAACAACCCGAGCTGTAGCCCATTTAGCGAGCGGAAACTGTGCAGAGCACCTAGTGACGGCCGAAACTGTGGCTCTCGTCGACGTCCTCGACTTCAGAGTGTTCCGAGTTTTAACCGAGACGAAGATCTTTTCCCCACTGCTTGTTCCTCGTCTTGATCATCGCATCATGTTGTGCCATATGCGCTTCCAACTTCTTCTGATCCTTTAAGATCAGAATCTCTTTCTTCCGCAACTCTGCAAATTTAGTGACTAGTTCCTCAGCCATCGTCTTTTCAGATGAAGAGTGCTGACTGAACTCATAAAGAGCCTTTTCGGGCTTGAACCGCGTTAGGTCGAGGAATCTGATGAAAACAATTAATTGGTTAGCAACAAGACGTTTCAAACGGATATCTAGACGCTCCAGGTGGACTCACGAGGGTTTGGCAGCTTCTGAAGCTTTGTGGCTGAAATGCCGAAGTGGTAAGGAAAGGTTTAGCGGATGTGTCAGTGGAATGCTCTACGCTCGTGAAGGTTAGGCGTCTAGTCGTTATGCGTTGCAGACAAATGGCGAAAGCCCTATTGGTAATGTATAGGGCAGCGTATTTCTGCGCACTGGATGCACAGTGACTCACTTAATCCAATCCTTGCCATCGGTGATCAAAAAATGTTTCCATGAACGGGCAACAACTTTGTCGTGTATGTCCAACTCGCCGAGAAAAATGCCACGTTGCACATGGTTCCACAAATGCTGAATACCCTCCTCGCTCTCACTGACGACCTGTGGCATCGGGGAGGAAGACAACGGTGCCCTGACCAGGCAAAAGAAAAGAATGTGGAGGACGAGGAGTGAGCAAATAAAGGGACTCATGTCTCAAGACTGTGGAAATGTGGAAAGAAGAGTAGGTGAAAGGCATGTGGAGTCATCTGACGGTCGCAAACGCTAACTCTATCTGTCAGGCATTTATGCTGTTGGCAAGCTCATTCTGCGTATGACTGTCCAGGGGACTTGCTTGCGCTAATGTATCGGACTGGGTCGCTGCGAAAGCTTCCTTTCCTCTGCCTGCCTTTCATGTTTGGAGGTTGCAGGGAAACCGGAAGTATCGAGCCTCGTTAAATTTGCATCAAACGAAGTTCAAGGCTTAAAGGCGTGTGAACAATGACATATGCTCATTTGCCAAGGCGAGGGACGGCTATGCCACCTTCTTGCAACGAGCAGCGAAGATGAGAGCAGTCCTCATATGAAAGGCGCATTCGAAGATTTCGGATTTACAGCTCGCGCGTAAACTGTCCCGCGATTTTACATGTCACCACACATCACTCCAATGCTCAATAGGGGGTATCAAAGTTTTTGCGTTTTTAAAAACGCGGGTTTTTTGAAGAGTGCATTTTTCCAAAAAAAAAAAGAAAAAACAACGCAAAAGCTTACATAAGCTGCGCAAAGGGAAAAAAAAAAAAACCGCATTTTTAAAAATGCAGGTCAGGAGACAGTATTGTGAAAACATGGAAGGGTTATCACTCCACATCTTCTCTCCTCTCCTCACTCTCATTGCACTTTTGCTCACTCCCTCTTCCTTGTGCTCATTCAACATGACCTCCTCCACTGATGATACTCATGACATCTCTGCAGAGTTGTTATGCCAGTCCACTACACCTACAATCTCTGCAACTCACATTGAAAGTGTGCCTGCACTGTCTCAATCTGGTTCTACAAGTGCTTCTGACATCTGCACTTCCAGTCCAACTTGAGCCTCTAGATCTGTCACAGGCAAGAAGAACTTCACATGGTTGGGTGCCAATGTTCTTCACCTCATCACAATCCTCTACAACAGCAAGTCCTACCAGCACACTCTGCTGCCATCTTGAGAATCAGCTGAGAGCAATCCAGCCCTCAAACTTTGCAAACATCCCATTTTTCAGGAGATCTCCAAGATGATTTTCCCAGGCGCATCTGTTGATCCCAATTGCATCAAGGCCAAGCTGAGGTGGCTGCTAGAGACATACTACAGGGAGAAGAAGAAGCTTTCACTCACTGGAGCTGGTACACTGCTGGAGGACATGGATGCATCCAACCTGGTAAGTTTTTGCAATCTTCATTGCTTGCAATGGTATGCTTGATTGCTGATTCATACTTTCAATTTCAAACAGTCCTACATATCTTGCATTGCCCTGTCAACAAAGTACACTTGGTTTGAAAGGATGCATGAGATGATGAATGGCCAATTCTATGCCAATCCCACAGCACTTATCACAACTCCCAGTCTCGACTTCACCAGCAAAGACAAGGCTGACATGCCTTCCAATGGCTCAGCTGACATACCCATGGATATTTGTGGCAGCAAGCTGTATGATCATGGCACTTGTAAGCGATCGTGCACCAGAGACTAACTGAGGTTGATTGAGTAAGGTCTACTCGATATGATTTGCCTAAATGTAACCAAGCGTCATTGCCTAGTAAGTCTCAACTGACTGCCTTGAACACTCCATTCAGAGGTTGTGCAGCACAGATGTTGTTTGTTGGTGAGTGGGTGATACACCCTCCCCTACAGTATGAGTGTTCATAGTACTGTTGATAATGCTCTTGGACATTGTCTGGACTGCGATATGCTAATCACCTACAGAGGATGGGAGTTACTGGACCACTGGTGTGAATCACCACCTACAATAACCAACTGGACTGCTGGTGTTGAGCAACACTGCCTTCAGCAAGGGACTGGACCACAGGTGTTGAAGAACACTGCCTACAGTAATGAACTGGACCGCTAGTGTGAAGAACACCACCTACAGTTGTCGACTAACAGTGATACAACACACATGTTGAGAGTCATTGCAAGAGCACTGCTATTGCGATGATACATAACTGAGTAAGTATAGAGTATGTAAGTTGAGTTCAGAGTGGATGCTGATCCACTTGTATGCTATGTAGAATGAGAGTATTTGTATGTCTGGTCAGTGTTTTCCCTCGACACCTATCCTGCTCCTCTTGAGGGGCCTTTGTCCCCTGTTAGGCATTGCCTTGCCCTGCTGGCACCAACCCCTTCGATACTGTGCTCCTACCATTTGCTCGGCATAAGGGTTATGCAACACTGCCCTCTCGCCTACATGCTCTCCTTCTGTCTGATGTGTGATGCCCCCTTTCAGCATAGCTCCCTCTCAACTTAATCATGTGAATTCCCTTTGAACCTTGTGACCATACCCCCTGGTCATGTGGTCATGTTGGCACAGTTCCATCTCGACTTGTTCAGATTGGCTGACTAGTTGAAGTGTGCTGATCCAACTATTGGCCAACTAGTTGAAGCATGCTGATCTGGCTGACTCTGACTGATCCCATGAGTTCTATCTGGATTCCCAGGGTTTGATTGATCTCGTAATTCATATGCACTGCCAACCTGATTAATCTCATTGATCCCCAATGGTTTTTGGCTCTGATCAATCTGGTGCACCCTTCATATGTTGATCTTCTGTGCACCCTTCATATACTGCTCTGTTACATGACATTACCATAGCTGCTGCTGATCATTTGGTGCACTCTCTTGTGCAGGCCAGCCGTCCCTGTGACATTAACCTCCCTTCCAGAGCCGAGCTCTGTCAAGGTTATATAAGCCCTCCTTTGTCCTTCTTTTCATCCTCTCTTTCTTCTCCTCTTACCATATCATGCAACCAATATTCCTTTACTCGGTATGCCCCATCTTTGTCATTCTCATCCTTCGAGGACTTCCCCTTCACCTCCTACTACAATGGTCGAGGTTTCTAACAATGACCCCACCCCTCAGAATCTGACTTCTTCTATCCAGACTCCCCTGTTGCCTACGTCTTCCCTTCCTGACAACTCGGCCTTCCTGAGCCCAACTGCTTCCTTGCTTTCCCTCTGCTCCTCCCTTGGGCATGTGTACAGACCCAATCCTTCATTCCTTGACTTGGAATGCCCCACGACTTCTTCCTCCGACCATCATGATGCTGTGGAAGTAGACTTGGCATGTACTCCAGCCCCTCCTTCCCTTGATCATCATGTACCTACCAATGGTGAGATAGCTGGTTGGTCTGAAGGATTGGTGGTGTCTAGGCTGGTGGTAAAAATCGCTACTGGGGACTATCCTCCAGAGTGGGAGGTAGGTAGAGGTTCTTCAACCAAACAGCAACGGCACCGCCTGGCCATGCTTCGAATGACCGAGGGTTGTATGCCCTGGCCTAGCTGGCAATGCACCCGGTGTGCTAGTCTTAGTCTTCCATGAGTAATCTTTTGTACACCATTCTCTTTCTTCCTCCTGATGCTAACCTCCTTTTTTTTTAGTTGTTTTCCTTCAGCATTCATCAACCCCTTCATCCCTTACAGTTGTGTTCCTTGCACCTGCACTCATTGCCACCTTGGCAACTTGTTGCATTGTGAATGGACAATCCCCATTTCTCTGGACATGGAGTACCTTGGTGACAGTCCCCCCAGCAGGCAGCCTTGGGGCACTCACCTGGTGGAGCATGCACATCTGACTGTGACCAATGGTTATGGTCCGGGATTTGTTCATGCTGATGATCGAGTGACTGACCCCGACACCTTCAACAAATGGATATTTGCCATCGGTGTTCTCTGGCGCTTGCCTAGCCAAGCGATGGCATTCCCAATCATTTGGATTCTCTTCTTGTACCTTGATTGTCATGATAAGTTGTGCTCCAAGCATCGACCTCATGAGTCTGTCATGGTACCTGGCGAGAATGCTGATTTCCTCTTCCATGGATGCTGGGTTCATCCTCCTCTCATTCCTACTCATGAATGCAACATGTAACGACGTGTTTGTATCCACCTCTCAATTCAATTTTCTTTTGCTCCTCTTTTCTAAAAGACTGTGTCTCTTTTTTGTCGACTTGCATGAGATGCTACGAAATTTGAACAGAGTTTTGCCTTCCATCGATACGTTTTGCTCTTCTCCGTTTTGTGTCACTTTTTGTTGAAGTTTTTTTGTGTTGCTTTTTTTTGTTGAAGTTTTTGTGTCACTTTTTTTGTTGAAACTTATAGTCGTCGTCCCCCCACCGATTCCTCATACTCCTGGATGAGGGTTGGGCAATTGAGAAGGTCGATCGACTCCCATGATGCTGCTTCTTCTGGGTACCCTTGCCAGAGTACCCTGTATTTGATCTTGTGATTACAAACTCATTTGTCCAGTAAGGCCTTGACCTTGAATTCAAGGTCCTCTTCTGGTAATGGTGGCTCTACTGGAATCTGCGAGCGATGTGGAAGTGTGCTCGTCCTGGCCGGCTCCAACATTGATATGTGAAAAACGTCATGGACTTGGAGGTTTACTGGTAGACCAATTCGATATGCCCTTCTTCCAATCCTTTCTTTGATCAGGTATGGGCCTGCGAACCTCATGTCCAACTTTGGGGTTGGTCATCTCATCTTCCAGTTCCTTCAATTGATATACACTAAGTCGCCCACTTTGAATTCAATATCTTTCCGTTTGCAGTTGTATTGGTTGACTGCCCGACTCTGAGCTTGTCTGATATGATCTTGAAGATACTTAATTTGCTCTGTATTGTCCATGAAGTATTTGGCAAGCTTTGGGTCATTTACCCCAAGTATTCGATGGTGTCCATGTGAAACTCGCATTTCGACAGCTTGGCAAATAGTCGATGTGTCACAGGGACAGCTGGCCTGCGCAAGAGAGTGCGCCAAATGATCAGCAGCAGTTATGATAATGTCGCGTAACGGAGCAGTATATGAAGGGTGCACAGAAGATCAACATATGAAGGGTGTGCCAGATTGATCAGAGTCGACAACCATCAGGGATCAACGAGATTAATCAGGTTGGCAGCACACATGATTTACAAGATCAATTGAACCCTGGGAATCCAGATCGATCTCATGGGAACAGTTGGAGTCAGCTGGACCAGTATGCTTCAATGAGTTGGCCGATCCGAACAAGTACTTGGAGCTATGCTGACGATGGAGGCAGTCAGATCAGCACGCCTCAACTAATCGGCCAATCCAAACAGGTATTCGGAGCTGTGCCAATGTCGGAATCAGTCGGATCAGCATGCTTCAACTAGTCGGCCAATCCAAGCAAGTATTCAGAGCTGTGCCGATGATGGAGTCAGTCGGATCAGCACGCTTCAACTAGTTGGCTGATCTGAACAAGTCAAGACGGAACTGAGCCGACGTGACCACATAACCAGGGGGTATGGTCATGAGGTTCAAAAGGGGATTCACAAGATTAAGTCAAAAGGGGGCCATGCCGAAAGGGGGCATCACACATCAGACAGAAGGAGAGCATGAAGGCGAGAGGGCAGTGTTGCATAACCCTTACACCAAGCAAAATGGTAGGAGCACAGTATCGAAGGGGATGATGCCAGCAGGGCAAGGCAGTGCCTAACAAGGGACAAAGGCCCCTCAAGAGGAGCAGGATAGGTGTCGAGGGAAAACACCAATCGAACGTATAAATACTCTCTTTCTACCATAGCATTTGAGTGGACTGGCATCCACTCTGAAACTCAACTACTTACTCTATACTTACTAGGTTACGTATCTTCGCAATAGCAGTGCTCTTGCAACGACTCTCAACATGTGTGTTGTATCACCATCAGTCGACAACTGTAGGTGGTGTTCTTCACACTAGCGGTCCAGTTCATTACTGTAGGTGGTGTTCTTCACACTAGCGGTCCAGTTCATTACTGTAGGCGGTGTTCTTCAACACCAGCAGTCCATTTCCTTGCTGTAGGTGGTGTTGCTCAACACCAGTGGTCCAGTTGGTTATTGTAGGTGGTGTTTCACACCAGCAGTCCAGTAACTCACATCCTCTGTAGGCGATTGGCATATCGCAGTCCAGATGACGTCCAAGAGCATTATCAACAGTACTACAAACACTCATACTGTAGGGGAGGGTGTATCACTCACTCACCAACAAACAGCATCCATGCCGTGCAACCTCTGAATGGAGTGTTCAAGGCGGTCAGTCGAGACTTACTAGGCGACGACGCTTGGTTACGTTTAGGATCTCGATGACATGTGTGATATGTTCCTCTTTCATGTCACTAAAGATTAGGAAGTCATCCAGATACACCACCACATATATTCCGATGATATTGTGGAAGATGTGGTTGATAAACAACTGGAAATGGGCAGGAGCATTAGCTAGGCCAAAAGGCATTACCAAATACTCATAAAGACCCAGCTGGGTTCCAAATGCTGTCTTCCACTCATCTCCATCCACAATACAGATAAGGTTATATGTGGCTCTGAGATCCAGTTTTGAATATATCCTTGCCTTGCATAGGAGGAACAACTGTTCATTGATGAGTGGCAATGGTGCTTGATTCTTGACTGTGATTTCATTCAAGCCCCTGTAATTGATGCAGAGTCATAATCCTCCATCTTTTTTAGGTACAAAGAGTACTGGTGA